CAGGAATCTGAAGCAGGAGGAATGCAAATTTTAGGCAAGCAGGGTCTCAAAGTAAAATACAAATTTTAAAAGGAATGGGAATGTAGCTCAGTGGTAGAAAGCAGGCCTATCATGCTCCAGGCCCTGCATTCAAGCATCAACACAGGAAGAAACAAAACAAAAAATAGGAATAACCAAGAACACTATATGCCTTGCCAATTCAAAGGTTTCCAAAACATCCTTTACAATTATGGGAGGTTAGAGAAAATTATTTTAGAATTTAATCAGTTTCAAGAATAACTGGTTTTCAATTTTTAAAAATGAGGTAATTTGACAGTTTTCAAGAATTTCTGAATAACTGTTATTAGCATAATTCAAAAAAATAACCCTGAGCCGGGCGTGGTAGCTTACACCTGTAATCCCAGCACTCAGGAGGCTGAGGCAAGGAGGATCGTTGCAAGTTCAAGTCCAGCCTGGGCTACAAGGTAAGCTTGAGGCCAGCCTGAACTGCACAGCGAGACCCTGTCTCAAAAAAAAAAAAAAAAAACAAAAAAAAACCCTGACATATATACTAAACTTAAAATTTTAGCCAAATTTTGGAATCATCACTAAAGAAATGTGTCTTACTCAGAACAAAAGGTGCTCCACAACTGGAGTGTCCATATGTATGACCCAGTTTGCCAGGATTGTCCTAATTTATATCTGTTGTTCCAATACCCACACTAACTTTACATTGGTCTCAGAATTTTAAACAATATATTATCAAATAATGCATTAATGTACGATAGGATAAACTACTAGATTTTCACTTTATATTTTTCCACCTTCAGCCATGGTTTTGTCTAGTATTGTGTGGGCTGCAAGTACCAGGAACAGAATTCCTACTTAAAAGGCACAGAATTCATAGTTTAACTTCTGGTTCAGTGTGAAAGTCAAACACAGGTAACATCTTTGTCCTTGGTAATGAAAGAAAGCACATTTGGATGCTTGCAGTACACAAGGGGTAGTTAACTCCATCCAGACTTGGGTAATGATGGGAAAAATATCTGAAGTTGCTGCTTCTGCCAGTCACTTGGTATATTGCCAAGCTGCGCCAAAAGCCTCTACCTAGTCTAAGTAATCTTAAATTGGGAAAAGTGAAGAGTGTATGCTATTTGTGAAACATATGCAGGAAACAGATCTCGTATATTCACGAGCAATATTCGGGACAGAGTAATCTTAACATTCTTGCTACAGGAATTTAGTCATTTTCACTATTTCCTATATTGAGTTTATTCACAAGTATATATTTTTGGGGTTTTTAATTTTAATTTTTCAGTACCAGGGATCAAACTCAAGATCTTGCGCTTGCCAGGCAAATGTTTATGCCTCTGAGCTAAATCTCTGGCCTGTACTTTTGTAACATTTATTTTTTACAAACTATTCTTCACACTTTCTTTTATGCTCAGGAATCTCAGCTTAGGCAGATTAAGTACATATGTTCAGCGAGCACAACTAAATATTGTACCTTATATTCCCTATCACATTATTATAATGGATGATATCAAGGAGTGCAAACACTTCACAAAATAAACTGGGTGTTCAATACCATAAACCTGACTGAAACCACTGGCAAGGGTTCACCTGAGGTAGAGAACCGAGCTGGAGCAAACCGGACAACTAACTGGGTAGTGTCCAAGATCATGAAAACCCAGAGGATTCACACAGAGCACCGAAGCCAGATGATACCACCCTCCCAAGCACTGCACACTGAACTAATCAGAAAACCCTGTTTATATTAAATGTTGTTTTTTGAGACAAGGATTCTCTATGTGGTTCCGGCTGGCCTTGAACTCAATGCATAGCCCAGACTGGCCTCACAGCAATCCTCTTGTCTCAGCCTCCCAAGTGCTGGGATTATAGGCATGTGCCACCACAACTGGTTTAAATAAGACCTTTAGTTGCTTGAATATTACCAGTTTCTTAATAAGCAAACACTCTGCTAAGATAGTTGCATAACCAAAAGAAAAGCAAGGCTCTAAACACAACCAACATGTATTTTCAGTTTAAAAAGCTAGAACACATACAAGTCCTTTCCAGCTCTAAAATGCTGTTTTTAAATTAATGAAAATAGCCAGGTGTGGTGGCATACATCTGTTATCTCAGCACGCAGGAGGTCTGCTGTGAGTTGAAAGCCAGCCTGGATTACATAAGGAAATTAAAGGTCTATCTGTACTACATAGCAAGACCGTGTATCAAACAAACCTAATGAAAACAGCTCAAATGCTTTTAAATCTTCTAGATCACTCAGTTTCTACCATACAAAAATGCCATTTTAGAAAATCCTGATAAACTGAGGGTGGTAACACATGCCTACGATCCCAACACTCAGGAGGCTGAGGCAAGAAGACTGCTACTTTTTGTTCAAGACCACCCTGTGCAACATACTGGGGAGAAAAAAATCCTGAATAATGAAATGTACCAGAAAGGACTCAAAACTAGCCTAGCCTTCTCCAACTTTCATTCTAAGAATTAGGGTTTACACCCAACAGAGAAATGATAAATGTACAAAATAAAGCTTGCATACAGTACCCACATTTCACTCCCAAGAGAAAGGTGGTTGTTTCACTGGTAGGTTACAGACTGTTTAACAAACTCAGATATCTAGGTGGATCTCTTGGAAATCTATCATTTCAATTATTTATTTTTCATATTTCTCTGTTTAAACATTATCTCCATCTTAAACTTATATCAACGGTGTATCACAACTTGTCACTGTTTTTTCCCCTTAGGAGTATATAATCATAGACTTGATTAAATATGTTAATTCCCCAGACTGGGCCCCTCTGAAATGGCTTTCAATTCAATCCACTCTAATTGTTAAATAGTTTTTATGCTAAGCACTGTGTTAAAGAGCATAGAAGACCTTGAAATAAAAGTTATTTCACCTTGGGCTCAAATATATCACTGATGAAGATTCTCTTTAAAATTCCAAATCAAGTAAAACAAACATCAGTTAGAGAAAAAAAACACCTTAAATACTGCTAACATATACTTATTTGGCAACTGAATCTTGCACTTTCTGATGTCACTTATTTTGTGAATATACTTTTTCAAATGCACTGTGTATTTTTCAAAGCGTGTAAATTAGGCTGGGTCCTTCTAATGTTACACCTCATTCATCTACCAGTATAAAGATGAATCTTTCTAATAAGCTGTAAGGTTCAAAATTAGAAAATATAACTGCTTTCTACAAAGGTTTCTATTAGTTTCTGAGGTCAGAAACTAAAGGTTTGGATGTCTGCTCGGCTTCACAATGCTAAGCGATCCAGCGAATAGTCTGAACAGAAGTGCTTCAGTTGGAGCGTATCTGCTACCTTTAGCAATCTACACTAGAATTTTTACTCATTTGTTCAACAATTTTTGAATGATTACCAAGCACTAAGCTACTGTTCACAGAGAGGATCACTATGACGTGACACTTAGGCGTCACTTTTTCTGAGTATTAAAAATTGTGCCTTTATAAGCCACTAGTCCTACCTGATGAAGAACACGGTTCCCCACCAGGAGTGTTTACACACCGGGACGAAACGTGGCCAAGTCGTTTCCTAAGGCTAGGCCACAGAGTACAGGAGGCAATCACAATTCACAACTGTGCACTTTTCCCACAATATTGAGGCTCTGAACGAACTATAGACCAACGAGAGTTTTAATACAGATGCGAAACCGAAGGTGCCCCGTTCGGCAGCCGGACGAGAGAGGCAGGGTCTGAAGGAAAAAGCAAGGCGATGTTGAGAACCACGCGGCGGAGACACGTCCCGCCAGCAACTTCCCGGGCCCCTAGGATTCCCCAGCTCTCAGAGTATGGGCAGCCGCTAGCGCCAGGGAACCCCAAAGGCTGCGGTGCGGTCAGCCAAACCGCGCGCAGAGCGGGGAGCAAGATGGACGGGAGCGGAACTCAGACGCTCGCCGCCTCCGCTCCGAGGACGGGGAGGGGGCGACCCTAAGGCCGCAGTCCCAGACGCTAGCCTGACCGCGTTAAGGGGCGGGAAGGGGACAGCCGCCGGGTGCCGCTGAGGAGTCCGCAGCCGGCGCAGCGGGACGCAGCGGGCCTCCCCGAGGACAGGCGGGAAACGTGGTGGCGGGAAGACGCGAGGGCGGCCAGGCACAAGCGCAGCGCGCGAGGCCCCGACCCTGCGCCGCCTCCGGCAGGCCAGACGACCCCGATACAGGCCTGGCCTCGCGGGGGGTGGGAAGGGGCCAGGACGCCCCTACCCGTGTCCGCGCTCAGCGAGCGCGGCACCCCACGGCCACGCGGGGGAGGCGGGGGCCGGTGGCCCGGCTGCGGGGAGCTGACACCCGCTCCGACACCCGGACGGCGACACGCAGATAAAATCAACAAAGCCCCGCCGCCCTCGAGGAGACACGCCGCAGGCCCGGCCGGGGAGTGGGATGCGCCGCTGCCTGGGCCACAGGGTGGCGCGGACGGGCCGGGAAGGGGGCGGGGAAGGGCCCCGCGCCGCGGCTCCGTGGCCTCGCTCCCGCCGGGTGGCGCGGAAACGAGACCCCGTGCCAGAGACTGACCTTGGAGTCTCCGTTGCACAGAGCCATCGAGGCTGGGGCCGTGGCCGCAGCGGGGCCGGCAACAGTACAAGACGGGGCGGGAGGGTCTTGGAAGGGTCGGCGCCACGGACCGTGGTCGAAAAGGAGGCCTGGTTGAGAAGAGGCGCTAACGGGGAGGACTTGGCCGCCCGCAGAGCGCGAACAGAGCAGTAGCTTCTCAGAGCGGGCCCCAGCGCCGCGGGAGAGAAAACCAGCAGCGCGCACGCTACCCCCGCCTCCCGCTTCCGCCCCGGCTGGCCGCTGGGAGGAGCCAGAGCGCGTTCGGCTGCCCCCGCTGCCACCACCCACCCGCGGCTCTCCGGGTAAGGGCCCCCGACAAGCCCCGCCCCCGCAGGCAAGGCCCGCCCAGCGGGAGACACCCGCCCGCCTGCTGGGCCTGCTGGGGAGGAGGGGCCTGCGCTCGGTCCCGCCCCCAAGCCGGAAGCCCGCCCTGCGGGAGGGGCAGGTCCGCTCCCAAACCAGGACCCCGCTCCGGAAGGAGGAGCAGGCGCTCGCCCCGCCCCCGACTGCCGAGCCCGCCCCACCCCCTGTTGCGGAGACCGCTCCGCCCCCTGCCGTGGGGACTGCCTGGAGGAGAGACTGAGCGCGGGTTGGTGTGCTGCTGGCTGTCAGGCTGCCGTCTTTGGCGGTTGCCCGGGGCCTGGGCCTGTAGGTAACTCTTTATCGAGGGCACGGCCTGATCTCCAATTGCCTGAAGTAGAGAGGCCAGGGCTGCTTTCTGCTCTGAAAAAGTTTCATGGCCCCAGCTCTAGGAACGTCCGTGTAGGATATGATTCTTAAGGTGCAGCAAAAATTCTGCAGAGTGTGCAGTACTTCCAAAAAGAAAAGGGAATGGCAGCAGCAGTCTCAGAGGCAGCTGGGCTAGGGGATTTGGACCTGAAGCGTTACCTGAAAAGCAAGCTAAGCTTCTACCGGCTCATTGGTGGTGTAACCTGTAAAAACCCCTAGACTCATAAAAATTCCCCTAGAGACAAAGGAGGGCCAAGATAGCCTTGGGAACAAACCAAATTGTACTATCCCAAGAGGATGTTTGCTATGGCTTTTTTTTTTCTTTTTTGTCTTTTTTGAGACAGGGTCTCTCTGCAGTTCAGGCTGGCCTTGAGCTCACTTTGTAGCCCACAATGGTCTCAAACTTGCAAGGATCCTCCTGCCTCAGCCTCCCAAGTGCTGGGATTATAGGTGTGAGCCACCACATCAGGCCTCTGTTTGCTAAGTCTTAACATGCTTGCTTGCTCAACCCCCACTTGAAGCCTGCCCTTTAGCTGTAAGGTGCGCAGTCTTCCATATTGGCTACTGGAGGCTGCGTCACCAGGCCTGTGCTTCAAATAAATAATCTTTTTAAATTCGTTTTCTCTGGCTCTTCTTTGCCTAGGGAATCGAGCACCACATTTGGGAGCTCGTCCGGGATGGAATAACAGCCCACCGACTCAATTCCTGAGGACTGATTCACTAAAGAGTAAGTACTGGAGGCTCCCATTCGATTTAGAGTGGTACCACCAAGTCTTAACTTTAGTTAGGAGAGGATGCCCTCTTCCTTGGGAGGACGAATCCTTGCTGGAAGTCCTAGATCATTGGTTTTGGAGTCTCTTGACTCATTTGGATCTTGGACCCCAGCAGGGCCACCCTCCATTTTGATATCAGAATTTGAAGGGAAGCCTCCAGCCTAAATTCATTTGTTCTGCCAGAGAAAACCTGTTTTGATTTTTATCAGTACTGGTGGTTTTGTCTTTGTTTTGTGTCTTTGTGTAGTTCTGTCTGTCTTTTGTCTCTTTGTTTTAACTTTTCCCTTACAGGACAAAATGGGCCAGTCTGGCACAAAGCCCACCCCTACACTCCATAGACTTGTCCTGGATCATTTTAAGGAATTTAAGAAGCTGGCCGAGGGATATGGGGAGCCCATTTTCAAAAGGAAACTAATGGTTTTTGCTTCTCAGGAGTGGTTGATAGGGACAAATGGTATTTGGCCCCTGACGGGGTCATTTGACATGGGAACAGCTCAAGTGGTCCATCGGTATGTATTTGGGCCCCCTTCTCACCCAGACCAGATTGTTTGCATTCAGATTTGGATAGATCTCATCTATGATTCTCCACCGTGGATTTATCGTTCCCCGCAAGCAGAGGTGATGGCAGCATTGAAAATGAAACCAAAATCGCCTGCGTCTGACTCCCAGCCCTCTGCTCCAGTCTTACCCTCTGCGAAGGACCCTCTGGAAGACGTCCTCCTTTCTCTCCCATATCCCCCCTCCCGGGGACCCTTCACCGGACACCTCCTCCTGCCCTCCCAGTCCAGTCTGGACCTGGAGTAGGCTGCAGCCAAATTCGCCTAACTCCACCACAGTGGCATCAGGGCTCTACCCTCTGGGAGATTCCCAACCCTAGGAACCCAGGGGACTCAATCTTTGTCTATACCCCTTTCGCCACTTCTGATTTGTACAATTGGAAGGGCCAAAATTTCCATTCTCCAAGGACCCTGAAAACCTTATTAGTCTAATTGATTCTATTTTTTCCACCCACCATCTAACCTGGGACGACTGTCAGCAGATTTTAAGAGTCCTCTTTAATTCTGAAGAGTGAACTCGCATCTGAGCTGTACGATGGAAAGGCATCTTGGACCCCGATGGAACCCCCATGACCGACCCGGGACGACTGGAACACTTGTTTACTTTGTCCTGCCCTGACTGGGACCCCAACACATCCAGAGGTAGGGAGGCTTTGACCCAGTGTCACAAACTGTTTCTGGCAAGCACTCAGTGGAGCAGCTAAGAAGCCCACATATCTGTCCAAGGTATCAGAGGTAAGGCAATTGGCTAATAAATCCCCTTCTGCATTCTTAGAGCACCTCCTAGAGGCTTATAGACTTTATACTCCAATCTATCCGGTGGCAAGGGCCATTAACATTGCCTTTGTGTCTCAGTCAGCCCCAGCTATTAGAAAAAAATTACAGAAATTAGAGAGATTTGAGAGAATGCCCCTTGGTCAATTGATAGAAATAGCACATAAGGTATTTGACAACAGAGAGAACTGACGAGAAGAAATAATAAAAAAGTCACTAAGGTGCTAGAACTGTTATGTGAAAAGGAAAACAAGCATTGCTTTTAGATCCTGACTCTGTTTCCCTCAAGTCCTCGGCAGCCCCGAATACAGCCACATTGTTGCCCAATGAGGATCTGTCAGCCCCGTACCACGAATGCTCTACCTTGATCGACAGCTACCAGAGCCTCCAACCCAAATTGACTGACAAACCTCTAGAAGGGGCACCATCATTCTTTTCAGACGGTAGCAGCAACATGTACCAAGGTAAATGAGTTGCAGGGGCAGTTGTGACCTCCAAGACCCAGATTTTATGGGCACAGAGACTGGACTCTGGCACTTCTGCTCAGTGAGCTGGACTCATCACTTTGATAGAAGCCTTGAAGCTGGCTGAAGGTAAGCAGATTAACATCTATACCGGTAGCCGATATGCCTTTGCCACTGCTCATGTGCACAGGGCAATTTATCAGGAAAGAGGACTATTGACCTCAGCAAGAGATAAAATAAAAAATGCCTCACAAATACTAGACCTGCTGGCAGTGATTTGGTTACCCCAGCAAGTGGCCATAATGCATTGCAAGGCCCACCAAAAAGGAGGTGATCCCGTTACCAGGGGAAACAGTCTGGCTGATATGGCAGCCAAAGAAGCTGCCATAAAATCAGTGGGGTCTGAAGAAGGGGATACGGAGGAAACTATTCCTACCCTCTTGCTGATGCCTCCAATGTTATCAGAACCTGTGTATACACAGAAGGACCTCCACCTGGCCACCCAACTTCAGGAAAAGCCTGACATTCCAGGAAGCTGGTATCAGTTACCAGATAAAAGAATCTTGCTACCCGAAGTCCTCAGACAAGAGCTCATTCAATAGGCTCACCAGTCCACCAATTTGGGAGGATCAAAACTAGCCAAGCTCTTTCAGGACCCATTCTTTATACCCCAATTGTCCAAATTGACAGTGGCTGCTAATTCAAGATGTCCTCAGTGCCGACTAGTTAATCCAAAGGGACAACTCCACTTGAAAAGTATTCGTTTTTGGGGAACTTCCCCAGGAGAACACTGGGAAATAGACTTTATAGAGATGAAAAAGCCAGGTCTACAAAGACATAAGTACCTACTAATAATGGTGGTTGATACCTCACTGGGTGGGTAGAGACATTTCTCACCGGATCAGAGTCAGCTCTCATAGTAGTCAAGTAAATTATTATTTGAGATCATCCCTCATTTTGGTTTGCCCTTATCCATGGGGTCTGAATGGCCCAGCTTTCATAGTCCAGGTAACCCAAGAGTTAACCCAGGCCTTGCAGATTGATTGGAAGCTTCATTGCGTGTACCGGCCTCAAAATTCAAGGCAAGTAGAGAGAATAAATCAGTCTTTTAAAAAATTTTTGACTACAAAGCTGTCCCTAGAAACCGGCAATAATTGGGTAAGTCTCTATCCCTTTGCCCTCCTGCGAACCCAATGTACCCCTTATGTTTCTGGTGTATCCCCTTCTGAAGCAATGTATGGGAAACCCCCTCCACTCATTCCAAAGCTCTCTGAGGAAAAATTGGCAGAATTAATTAACCAGGATCTCATTAAGTCCCTACAGGCTCTTCAGCCTGTTCTGACTTCTACACATTGATTATTCTGGCTGAAGCATCCTCCAGTGGATTCTCACCCCAAGTCCAGCCCACTGGTGGAGCCCAGTGCTTTGATCCTTGTTAAACATCACCACTGGGACACCCATGAGCCTCGTTGGGAGGGACCCTACACCGTGGTGCTCACCACTCCAGCTGCAGTGAAGGTGGCCGACAAGATGCCCTGGATTTACCACTCCAACGTTAAGGTCTTAGACACCCAAGGAGATCACCCCCAGGACAACTGGCGCAACCAACTGGTAACCCTCTAAAGTTGAAAATAACTAAGTACTTTAGTTGGGTCTACCTCATCTGAAGTAAGTGAAATAACTAAGTGTACTTAACTGTGTTAAACATGTCTTTCCTCACCGTGCTCCTAGCCTGATTGTCTCTGCTTCTTCTAAGCCTGTACATGCACCCAGTTGGGGGACTTGGGTTATATAGATCAGGTTACCCACTCAATGCTAGGAAAAAATGAAACTGATCAGGCCACAGTTACACTAGATTTGTGTACATTGCTCAATTATTGAGCTGAGAGACAAAGTGACCCATGGTCCGGACCCCCCTATAATTATTGCAGGGATGTCTACTCGGCTAAGGGACTCAAGGATACTCAGATACACTTGTGCCCCAAGGACCAACCTGATCTCACCAGCTCTGCTTATTGTGGATATACCTTCTATAAGGAAATGCATTGTTATGCTTGGTCTTGTACTTCCTGGGTAGCAGGATACAACTCAGAAAAATATCTCAGGTTAACAAAGAGGCATAACTCTTGTACTTCCAAAGATGCCTGTAACCCCATCTCCTTGACATTTCAGCAGCCTACAGATCCCAAATGGAAGTCAGGATTAACCTACAGGGTCCGCCTGTATATAACTGGCATAGACCCCAGAAATACTTCTAGGGTCCAATTCACACCAACAATACCATCTAAGGTTACCATGGCCCCAAAGGCTAGACAAAAAAAATCTAGCAACCCAGGGGCCCAAAATTGCTTCAGTTCCCACTCACAGCACACCTCCTCGTTCCAACCTGACCCAGCCAGCGTCTGACCTGTTTTCATCGCTTGAGGTAGCCTACCAACTCCTAAATGAGACCCACATGATTGGGAACCTCACCCCTTGCTGGCTTTGCTTATCCCCAGCACCTCCCTACCTAGAAGGATATGTTAAGACCAGTGGTACTTTAGCTGGGTCTACCTCATCTGACCGTCGCTGCTGGGGGACTAAACCAAAGGTTTTATTGAGGGACCTCTTCCTGACAGAAGAAAATGGGACTTGCATATATAGTCAATCCAGTATTCCTCCTAAGTATTGTAACTTGTCAGTCTCAATCCTCATCAAGAGCAGCCACCATACCCAACCCAATTGGTATGTGACCATCCCTGAGGACCACTGGTGAGCCTATACCTCTGGGTTGACCCCTTGTGCTTAAGCAACTGTCTTCAAAGAAAATACTAATGAGATATGTGTTCTCGCTCAGGTATTACCCAGGTCTGTTGGCACCTAGAGACCGAGGGAAACTCAGCCCTTTTTCGTGAACATAAGATAACCAAAAGGAGCCCTCTCCTCCCAATAGTAGCTGGAGTCAGTATAGTAACTGCCCTCGGACTAGGGGCAACCTCACTGGGAATGGGCTTATACCATAATTACTTTCTAGCTAGACAAGAGGACTCAGGCCTACAACAGCTTCACAATGCTGTTGCTGCATTAGAAACATCCATTGAGTCTCTGGTGGAAGTGGCTTTACAAAACTGTTGGGGGGCTTAGACTTGTTAATGGCTAAACAAGGAGGGCTTTGCCTAGCCTTGGGAGAACAATGTTGCCTGTATGCTAGTAAGTCTGGAGTTATTAGGCAAAGCCTAGCAGAGTTACAGCAAAGGCTGTTAGAAAGAGAAAGAGGGGGGGAACTCAAGGATGGATGGAACAAATGTTCTTCTCACCCTGGGTCACTAGCCTAATAGCAACATTGGCAGGACTCCTCATGATTGTCTTGTTGATAGTCACTATAGGCCCCTGTATAATCAATATGTTAGCCTCCCATATTAGGCAGAAGATACAAGGTATAAGGTTAATGGTGCTACACCTCAAGGATATGAAATGTTATCGGTTCACCACCTCGAGCAGTCCTAAGCCTTCCCCAAAGATTTGGAGAAGAAAACATAAAATCAGTGGGGAATGTTGTAACCTGTAAAAACTCTAGACTCATAAAAATTCCCCTAGAGACAAGGAGGGCCAAGATAGCCTTGGGAACAAAACAGATTGTACTATCCCAAGAGGATGTTTGCTAAGTCTTAACATGCTTGCTTGTTCAACCCCCACTTGAACCCTGCCCTTTAGCTGTAAGGTGCAGAGTCTTCCATATTGGCTACTAGAGGCTGCGTCGCCAGGCCTGTGCTTCAAATAAATAATCTTTAAAATTCTTTTTCTCTGGCTCTTCTTTAAGCACCACAATTGGGAGGAAAGAACTGCAGTCCCTTCAGCTACCCTTTGGTGCTTGTCAAGACAAGTGTTACAGCCACACTCAGTGACAAACACCTAAAATCCTAGCTAGCAGTCTGGGAGGCTGACTCAGAAACATTGCAAATTCGAGTCTGGCTTGGGCAATTCAGTGATTCAGCGAGACCCTGTCCAAAAAAAATTTTTTTTTAAATTTCTTTAAGGGCTGGAGATGTAGCTAAGAGAAAAATGTGACAAATATTATTTGAATTGTGAATTTGATTATTTGGGGACCTAAATCAGAGTTGGAAATAATAATGACATTTAGCTTGGAATATTTCTTTAGCTATTGTAGTGCAGACAAGCATTTGCTTTGACAGGCTCTAGTTTGGATACTAAGGATCCAGGATGAGTCGATCCTGACTTCCAAAATTCACCTTATTCTAACCAGTCCCACGAGAATAGTAAGACTAGTGAATTACCAATGAGAAAATTTAGGCTAAGTGAACTAATGTGCTACAATACAGTTTTGGTTTTGTTTTTTCAGCAGTGTCAGGGTTTGAACCCAGTTTGTACTGTGCTACATCATGAGTCCTGTGTTTATATTTTCCTTTTGAAACAAGGCTTCACTGTAAGTTGCCCAGGCTAAGCTGGAATTTGGCAGTCCTCCTGCCATAGCCGCTCAGAAATGGTAGGTTTACAAGCCATAGTCACAGTGCCTGGCTTCGCTATTCAAACCCGATCTGAGAAAGGTTAAGCAATTTGTTAGTAAAATATAAGAAAAAGCCCAACGCCTTGGTGGGTTTTGGACACAAAAGTATTTTCTTACCTTTTTTTGAACTACAAGATGCATGTTTGAACTAAAGCCATAGGTACTAGCTCGTCTTGGAAGGTCTGTCTCAACAACCCAGAGAAGAGTGAAGTAACCAATAGGAGAGTCTGAACTTGCATGCACGTCCCTGCCTAATGAAATAGAATGCAATGTGATGTGTCCTCATCAAGGATTGGTTAATTCTCAGTTATATTACACAATGGCTAGTTTAAATATGTTCTAGTGGTCACTTGTGTTTAAAGCCAAGAATTCTAAGATGTACTAGGATGCTTGTAGGTTGGGGAAATGTTGCTCAGCACTAGAGCATTTGCCTAGCATATGCAAGGCCTGGGATTCGATCCCCAGATTTGGGGAGGTGGGTTTTGTATTGTAAATTAGCCAATTTCGGAGTTTATTGACTCCTCCCCCTCTCTTGACACTGTATTTCCTACATCTTTGCTGTATAGTGACATCTTTTCATCTCTAAGGCTTTTGATTATCTTTTGTTGTTCTTTTCAATATCTATCATTCCTAGTTTTACATGCTAGGTTTCTTCAGAGTTTGCATTCCTCTTTTCTCAGTTTTACTTTTCATCTGTATTTCCCTTATGCACTTGTTTAAAAATATATACTAAAAAGTGTAGCCTAGTGAAGTGTGCTGTAATGCCAGCAATCCAGAAGCTGAGGCAACAGGATCACTTTAAATTGAAGGCCAGCCTGAGCTATGAATAGAGCCCTTGTTTTCAAAAACAATAAAATAAAATATAAACTAACAAAAAAATACTCCTAAGGAACTGTATGTCCTGACAAGTCTTTTTCTGAGCTCTGGATCCGTATAACTGTATATGTCCTCAGGAAGAGATCCAATGCCATGTTGTTACCCCAAATATAGTCCTTTTTGCCTCTCAAAACTGCAGAACCAACAAGATCCAACACCAATTCAGCAGTAGAGGAGATTTTTATTCTTGGCCAAGAATAGGAAAAGGGGGAGCTGAACACACAGGTCAACTCTACAGCATCTTAGGATGTGGAGGTTATAAACAAATATACTTTAAAAGAAATGAAGAGGGGTGTAGGAGGGATATGCTCATAGACTGGAAGAATATTCATGTATTTTCTGGGAATGAGAGTGTATTTGTGGTAAGTCTAGTTACACCTTTTCCTGTTCTTTTATGATTCCTTCAGGTCATTGCCCTGGCAATTGGTCAACTGTTTTGACACTAGCGTAGCATTTAGCTGTAGATGGATTATAATGAAGTTAGAAGTTGTCTGGCAGTTAGCCTGGCAACCACCTTAGATCTACTCAGTCTTAGCAAACCCACCCAAAAAGGAGCCTACCTTCCTGTCCTCAGTAAACAAGGTTGAGGTGAATAAAACTCCTGTTGCTCAAGTACTGCAAGATTAGGGCAATGTGACAATGTGGGCCCCAAACTCAGCAAGTCCTAACAAAGCTTCCCTCCCTAAATTTTCATGCCCAGTCTCACTGGTACCATAGTGTTATAGGGAAAATATTAGTTGTCACCAGTAAATTACAGATTTCTCAAAAAATTAAAATCTTGTGGATTTCCAGGAGACCCTTTACCAGGTTTCAGAACTTGCTGAGAGTTTTCGTCAAGAGTAAATGTTGCCCAGTCCTTTTTTCCTTTGGCTCTTGAGATGAGTGTAGTTTTTGTTTAGTTTGTTAATGTGGTAAATTACATTGTTCTTTGATCATTAAATCAATCCTGTAAACCTCAAAAAGACATGGTGTATTTTTCTATTTGCTAAAATTTAATTTACTAAAATTTTGACTTTTAATTTTTGCGACTGTGTTCAAGAGGTATATTGTAGTTTTCCTGTAATATTTTTGATTGATTTTAGTATCAGGCTAATTCTAACTTCAAATAACAAACTGAAAGTTTGTGTAATTTGTTGTTCTTTCTAGAAGAACTGATATTTAATTCTGTCTTCAAAGTTTAGTAGAATTTACCAATGAAGCCATGTAGGCCTACAGTTTTCTTTATGATAGCATTTTTAATTATAAATTTCATTTATAAAACTGAACATGGAGTGTAGGGGGCAGTAAGGAGAAACAATCAGATTCTTATTATTATTGATGTTGTTGTTTTTCTAATCTGCAGAGATGGAATATATTTCTGTGCCAAATGAATGTTAATTATGATTTGAATCGTGAGCATGCGCACATCCAAATCTTCAGTGAGGCAATCAATCAATCAATAAGTACGTAAATGGACATGGGGATCAGGGATATGAATTTGTGAGGTCTTGGGTTTAGTCTTCAGCATAAGAAAAGAAAGAGAAAATAAAAGAGAAGAAAATAAAAGGGATATGAGACTATTTGTGTTATATTACCTTTCTTTTTTTTTGTTTGTTTGTTTTTCCTTTTTATCGGTACCGGGGATCGAACTCATGACTGCCTGCTTTCAAGGCAGGCGCTTATGCTGCTGAGCTAAATCCCCAGCCCCTATATTACCTTTCTTGAGTGAGCTTTGGCAATTTGTTTTTTAAAGAATTTGTTCATTTTACTTAAAATGCTAAATTCATAGGCATAAGGTTGTTCATGATATTCTGTTATTTAAAATATATTTTATGAGTGCCTTTTCATTTTATAAAATACTGAGTATATATATAAATACATGTACTATATATGACATTTTTAACATATCAGTCTTCCTTAATACCCACTTTTATACCCCTGTCCTCACCTTTCTTCTCTTGGTCTTTTCTAATAATAGTCTGTGCTCTACTTTCTTGCCATACTTTCCATCTATGTACTGCTTTAGCAACATCCCATAAACTCCAACATATTGTCTTTTATTTTCCCTCAGTTCAAACTAGTATCTGATTTTACCTTTTGATTTCTTCTTTGACTAGAAGCATATACTTTTCATTTTTCCATATTTTTCATCTCTCCACTTCTCTCTGGTCTGTCTGAATATTTCCTAGCATTATCTCCACAGCAGCTTCAATAAACTGTAGACAGTGGCTCAGACTCATACTGAACTGGCATCAACTCTAATAGATGTTGGCAAGGAGCTGAGTGGACTGATGGGTCACACTTGGCAAATTTGTCAGCACCTTTGGATATTTTCAACTCTATAATCCCCTTATAAAGACATAGCAATACAATCTTTCCCCCACATACTGCTCCAAAAACTCTTCCATAAATTATGTTAAATTAGCTGGGCGTGGTGCCTCAAGCCTGTAATCCCAGCATTTGGGAGGCTGAGGCAGGAGGATCACTGCGAGTTCGAGACCAGCCTGGGCTACAAAGTGAGCTTGAGGCCAGCCTGAACTGCATAGCAAGACCCTGTCTCAAAAAGACAAAAAAAAAATTAGGTTAAATTGCGTGTTTGTTTGTTCCCTCTATTTGATTAATAATTCTTTAGGGCATTCTGTTTTATCCTTAAAGTCTAGAGGTCCCTGGGAAATGCTTTTTAAAAAAATAATTACTAGGTTAGGATCTATGTCATCCTTCAGAGGCAGAAACTGAGAATTTAGCTGATGAAGACCATGTCATTCTAAGTTCCCAGTCCTTGACACAGCTACCCAAAATGAGATTGTACACTTCCAGTCCAGGCAACTTAGGCACTTAAGGTGCCCCAAGGAAGTGAGCAAAAGGAGAAGTGGGATGATTGGGAACATCATCCCTCAGAAACAGGTAGCTACCACCTCATATTCCGTGTTTGGAGTCTTCATCTGTAGGACTTAGGGTGGTTGGTAATTTTTCCTCCTCAGGGTGGAGTCCAGAAATCTGTCCCTAAACCACACATAGATGAGGCCTATGCAGGTAGGATAAGTTAGGATTTGGGCTGTTTTATACAGAACAAAGAGAGAAAAGAGTTTATGGACAAGGAACAGTCCAGAGCATATCCCAGTATTACTTCACCATTTGGGAAGTCTCATTCTCAAACAGCAAAACATGCCAAATTACAAAAAGGTTGATGGGGTCAGGGCAGTGGAGAATCTCACACATCTCTGAGCTGGCACATTTCAGGTTTCCATACAGGGACACTTTCCATTGAACTAGGGAAGCACAGGTTTAATTTCCAAATAGCTTGAAGATTTTTCAGATACATTTATACAACTTGCTTCTAATTTAATTTCATTATGTTCATAGATTTCATGACTTGAATCCTTTTAAATGTATTAAGACTTATGGCTCAGAATATAACCTATCTTGGTGAATGTTCCGTATACTTGAGAAAAATGTACATTATGCTGTGTGAAATTGCAAATGGATCAAGTTGGTTGATAGTGTTGTCCAAAACTATTTTTGCTGATTTTACTCCTCACTTGTTCTACTAATTATTGAGACATGATACTGAAATCTCTATAATTTTATTTTTCTCAGCTTTTACTTTTTATTTTTATCAGCTTTTACTTCCTGTATTTTGTTATTAGGGCTATAAATGTTGAAGATTGTTATTCATTGGTTCATCATTCTGAAATGATGTTCTTTATCTCTGGTAATATTATTTACTCTAACATCTACTTTGTCCAGTATTAAAATAGCCATGCCTGTTTCCTTGACTAGTGTTGGCGTGGGTATCTTTTACATTTTAACTTGTTTGTGTCATTAATAGCTCCATTAGCCTCTCAGTGCAGTTCAAAAGTGCAGAGCAGGAATCATTCTAAAGGGTTGCTCACAACTCTGACAAACGAGCTGGATGAGGACCAGAACAGCGCTGAGTCCTCCATGTGGGCTTTACTCACAGCCACTTTAGGGTAACTGGATGTCCTGTATGTCAGCTCAGGACTTCTAAGGTGTAACAGTATGTCAGAGTATACAGTGGGTAGAAGTGTTAGAAGTCACACAAATTCACTTTCCTGCATTCTATGTACTGAATTAATCATAAGCAATTATTAGATTAAAAGAGGGTGTTCTGGAAGAACAGGTGGAATGGAAATGTGATACAATGCTTGGAAAGCAGCCCTGGCAATGTTTAATATGAAGGTTAAGCTGGGCACGGTAGCACATACCTGCACTCTCAGCCTCAGAAAGCCGAGGCAGGAGAATCACCATGAGTTTCATGTAACTCAGGGGAAGAGCACTTACTGGCATGTGTGAGGTCCTGTGTTCAACTCCCCAGTAATAATAATAATAATAATAATAATAATAATAATAATAATTGTAATAGTAGTAGTCAAGGCAGGAATTTTCAGATTGAAGGAGACAACAGACATGATAGTTGAATAAAATGCATGGTCCTGTATTGTAGGCCTCTATTTTTTTATTTTTATTTCACTTTTGCAGTGCTGAGCATTAAACCCAGGGCCTTTGTACTGAGCTACACCCCCAACCCTTTATTAGTTTTAAGACAGCGTCTCCATAAGTTACTCAGTTGCCCAAGCCTGGGCTTAAACTTGCAGTTCTCCTGCCTCAATCTCCTAGAATGCCAGGATTATGGAAGTACAACACAAGCTCTGGCAATTCTCTTCCTTTTTAAGGTGGAGTTATCTTCTATTTATAAATATATATACCTCACTTTATTTATCCATTAATTGGTCAATGGACATTTGAGTTGCTTCTACATCACTGTGAATAATGCTGCTATTGGGGCGCTCAAATATTAAAAAGAAAATAGAAGAGTTAAACATGAGAACTTATAAAATAGTTTATTGTAAATGAGAAGAAAATAAAGCTCTCCAGATTTTGAAATTAAGTATGCTTCCTATTATTTTTTGTTTTGTTTCTGTTTTTTTGAGACAAAGTCTTGCTTTGCAGTTCAGGCAACCTTAAACTCACCATGTAGTCCAGAATGACCTTGAACTCATGGTGATCCTTCTACCTCAGCTTTCCAAGTCTATTGTTGTTTAAGTAATGGTATATTTTTTTCAGTACTGGGAATTGAACTCAAAGCCTCACCCATGCTATGCAGACTCTCTATCACTGAGTTACACCCCTAGCCCTTTAATCATAACACTCTATATAAATTTTAAATGTAGGAAATTAAACTGTTTTCATATGTTGCAATCATGTAACTTCACATCATTTGTAAATTTAATATTCTGACAATAGGCATCAAAAGGCTATCAAACATGTGTCAACTAAACACACTCAAGAGAGAAGACTTCTAGAACATCATCAGAAGATGGGAAGAAGCCAGGCATGGTAGCACACACCTGTAATCTCAGCACTTGGGATCCTGAGAAAGGAGTGGCCCTGTAAGTCCACAATCAGTCAGCTATATAATGAGGCCAGTCTGAGCTCTATATTGACTGTGTCTCACAGAAAGGAAGGAAGGAAGGAAGGAAGGAAGAAAGGAAGGAAGGAAGGAAGGAAGGAAGAAAGGAAGGAAGGAAGGAAGGAAGGGGAAGGAAGGAAAGAAAGAAGGAAGGAAGGAAGAAAAAATAAAAGATATGTGTGTTTGAAGAGTGTGTTGGGATTAATGCCAACATGTCTTTTACTGTAATACATTATTTAAACATTCACAGTGTTTCTGGATCACATCTTGTACAAGTACAGGCCTCAATTTATAACCAGATAGCTTGTTTTTAGACATGAATCTTCCACTAATGCTGAGAGGTTTAATTTAATCAAGATACCAAAAATTTGAAATGGCTAGAAAAGCTTGGATCCATGTCACCAAGGGATTATTATAATACTATATGCCTTTCCTGAAAGTCTGCCATCTTAAACTTGCACTTGCTTTATATGATATCCCAATAAACCTGCTTTGCTCCCATACTAAAGAAACTAATTTGAAAATTTAGCTGAGGCCAAGCATGGTGGCACCAACCTGTAATCCCAGCATATGGGAGGCTGAGGCAGGAGGACTGCCTGGAGTTTGAGACTGGCCTGGACTACATAGTGAGTTCAAGACCAGCCTGAACTACATGGTGAGACCCTGTCTCAAGGAGAGGGAGAGAGAGAGAGAGGGAGAGGGAGAGAACTCAACTGGGCATAGTGGCAAATGCCCGTAATACCAGAGCACTAGGCAGGAGAATTGCAGCAAATTCAAGTTAGCCTGGACTACATAGCAAAACCCTATCTCCAAAAACCAATCAATCATCAATCAATCAATTCAGAGGAATATATAGAAGATACAGTTCAGATGATAATGAATTGACTGGAAGAAATATATAACCAGACATAAGTACAGGGAGGAGCTGCTAAATGATTAATTTTTATAATGGAGTCTGGGAAAAACAAAACTCAGTTATTATATGCTTGCCAGAGAAGCATAGTTTTTCGGAAAATTGCCTCTAAGTAGATAAGCTGTCACTGCTACTGTCTAACCTTCAACTGCCTTGGTTTCTGTTTTTACTAAATTAGTCTTGGGTTTTTATTAATTCTGAAGCCATCAATATCCTTCCAGTAGAAGTCTTCAGTAAACAAAATATGTATTTTGTTTAGAATAGCCAGTAGTTAAAAAAAGGCAGGGGCTAAAATGTATTTAAAAAATTTCTGCAAGTTCAAGAAAGATTGGGAACATTATTCAAATAAGCCTAGTGAATATTGAATAAGATTATTAAGAAAATAAACATGTACACACTTTCATACTTCCTGGAGAAAATTTTAAACCCCAAGGATAAAGCAACATTCCATAAGCTTCCAAAAGGTAAAAACAGGATGCTTTCAAAAGAACCAAAATTAAGTTGATATTAAATTAGAAGTATGGGTATTGTGGGGTGAATGCCTGTAATACCAGCACTCAGGAGGCTGAAACAGGAAGATTACAAGTTCCAGCCCAGCCTGGCAGCCTGGATTACATAATGAGTTCAAGGCCATTCTGACTATATAGTGAAACCCTGACTAAGAAAAACAAAAAGGGGGAGTGATTACGATGGGCTACGTATAGGTATCAATTCCCCAAAATAACATGCATGTTCATGTAAACATATACCAACAAAAATTAAGTACATATTAAGTGTACTTATTAAATGTCACAAATAACTTTCTTGAGCTAAGCATGGTAGCACATGCCTGCATCTCAGCACTGGGGAAGACTGAAGCATGAGGTTCAATGAGTTTGAGGCCAGCCTGGGTTATACAGTGAACTCAAGGCCAGCCTGAACTACGCAGCAAGACCCTATCTCAACAATAAATAACTTTCTTTGCTACAGCTCATGTCTTATTTTTGAGAACTGAAACAAGCCCCAATTCACATGAAAAAGATGCTGACCCAGATTCAAAGAAAGGGTTCCAGAACTAGAAATGTGGCACAATACTTATGCTGAGAAAGAACATAAGATTGGGGATGTAGTTCAATAATAAAGTCAGTGCAAGACAAGAATTATTCCAGATTGAAGGAGACGAGACAAGACAGCTGGGTGCAATACAGGGCCCACCTGGATTCTATCCTTTTGCTAGGGATCATTATCAAAGTTCAGCAACCCACAGAGGAAAGATATCCAAGTCAATATCAACCATTATAATAAATTTATATATAACCATAGTCAACATTAACTATAATAGTAGCCTGCAGGATTTCAGGACTATATAACAAATACACAGATTTGGTAATTTCAAAGATTTATAATATGCCAGTATCTTTCCATTGACACCTCCACTTGTTAGCCAGAATTCTATCATTCTCTTTATGAAAGTTTTTCACAAAAAACCTTAAAACAGATAAATATTTACATATAATTTTTTTTCTTGTGGAACTGGGGATCAAAATCACAACCTCATGCTTGCCACACAAGTGCTTATGCCACTGAGCTAAATCTTCAGCCTATACAATAGAAAAAAATTGAGTAAAGAAAAATTTTTATCTTCAGATTAGTTGAAATGGTTCACTAATTCTGTCTAATGGTTCAAAAATATGTCCACAAATTGTTTGATATGCTTCCCTCGAGAGCTACAATTTAATTCTCCTCTTCAGTGTAGGCTGGATTTGATAACTTGCTTCTAATAAATAGAATATATGACAGTTGTTATTTTTGAGACTGAGTTTTTTTTTTAAAAAAAAGCATTTGTAATTTTCTCCTCCTTCTTTCTCCCCAGCCCCTCCTCTTTCTGTAAAATCATTTGCTCTACAATAATCCAGCTGTTATGTCAAAAAACACGTAAGTAGCTTTTCAGAGACCCACATGGCAAGGAACTGTGCTCTCTTGCCATTGACCATGTGAAGTGAGCCACTTTGGGAAGTGGATCCACTAATCCTAAAGAAGTGCTCAAATGACTGAAAAGCCGGCTACACTGTAATTGCAGTCTCAGGAGAGGTACCAGGCCCCATCCAGGAAGCCATTTCCTAACCAACAGAAACCATGAGATGAAATGTTTGTTGGTCTAAGCTGCTAAGTTTTGGGGTAATATGTAACCTGCAAAGATAACACATAAACTTGGGAAGGATTTTTATAAAAGGTACATGTAGCTATTAGTAGGATAAACCTGTATTTTAGCTGAGGCAGGAGGACCTCAAGTTCAAGCCCAGCCTGAGCAATTTAGCAAGACCCTATCTCAAAATAAAAATGACTGGAAATGTAGCTCAGCACTGTCTGGGTTCACTCTCCAGTCATACCCAAATAAACAAAGTCACACCTAGAAAATAAGAAAAACCTTACAAGAGTGAAAGAGAGAAAAAATTACTTAACAGAAAAAAAGGAAAATAAGGTTTAAAATTATATGTTATTAGCAATAGTAGAAGCTGCAACTCAGAAACTACAATTTCTACATAAGCAAGTTTTGCTTACCTAAGGCTATAGTTTGTATATGAAATGTCCCATAAGGCCCATATGTTAAAAGCTAAGACCCATGGTAGAAAACCTTTGAGAGTTGGAGCCTCGTGGTAGGAAGTTGAGTCACTGGTAGTTTTGTTTGTTTTTGAGACAGGGCCTTGTTATGCAGTCCAGGTTGCCCTTGAACTCACTATGTAGCCCAGGTTGGCTGTGAACTCCAGGTAAGTGTTGAGATTACAGACATGCACCACCGTGCCTGTTTGGGTGTGAACTTTTAGACCTTTAGAGGTGGTAGGCGGCCCTGGCCCCATCTTGCCTCCCTCTCTCTCTCTGTCTCTCTGCTTCCCAGTAACCATAAAGTGCACATTTCTCCCCACTATGCACTCCCACCACATACTACCTCACCACACTCCCAAAGGCAATGGAGCCAAGCAAATGGAGGTGCAAACATTTGAAATTGTGAGCCAAAATAAACTCTCCTTCCTTATAACTGCTTATCGCAGGTATTTTGTCACACAGATGAAAAACTGGCTAATACCTCCATTACTCTATTTTGAAAAATAACCCCATCATGACAGTGCATACTGATAGTCCAGTTACTTGAAAAGCTGAGGCAGGAAGGTCACTTGAGCCCATAAATTTGAGATTAGCCTATGCAACATAATAAGATCCCATCTCAAAAACAAAACAAACACATACAAATAATGGAAATACAATGATTTTTCCATTACTATAAACCACATGATTATATAAAATGCAGCAGCATTTAATCATAAGGGCCTCAAGATCCAAGTAATAAGATATAGAATACAAAACAGAATACAGTATTTAAATTTAAGTAAATGGAAACCATTATGAATGAGTCTGAAATATTTTATAAAATGAGTGTTAAAAGACAAATAAATGTCATATATGTGTGATAGCTCAGACCCTGGACTAAAATCCAAGGAAGCAAGAAATTAAAATTTTGGGAGCAAAGGCTTTATTTTAGGCCAGGCTTGGCGATGCAGCCTCGGGGAGCCAATATGGAAGACTGCGCACCTTACAGCTAAAGGGTTGGGTTTTTATTGTCTTTTTTTTTTTTTTTTTTTTTTGGTCTTTTTTTTGGTCTTTTTATCGGGTACCGGGGATCAAATTCACAACTGCTTGTTTGCAAGGCAGGTGCTATGCCGCTGAGCAAAATCCCCAGCCCCTAAGGGTTAGGTTTTTAAAGCTGAAAAACCACAGAAATGTTGTGAACTTTGACACAGTTTGATAGCATCTGGGCTTCTTGGTATCTCCTGTAATTTCCTTGTGGTTAAACGTTTTTTAAGAAACAGCACATTTTATTACAGATAGGCTGAAGGGGGTAGGGGGGGTTACCAGAAACTGAAACTTAAGACTTTTATGGGAAATGGAGTTTAATGTAAAAAGAATGGGGAGGGGAGGGGGGATTTATAAGGAGCTGAAACTTAAATCTTTACTGGAAATGTAATTTTAATCTCTATTGAAACGGCACACACAGAACAGGAAGGAGGCACACTGGTTAGAACTAGGCTACAACAATATGTAATATAATCTTAGGACTACTTTCTCAAACACAATACGTCACTCAACAGTCATGTACTTGTAACTTGTACTTCACATGTTTGTCTTTTTTTGCAGCTGTAACAAAATACCTGGGACTGGGTAATCTGTACTGAACAGAAATGTACTGGTTCATGGTTTTGGAAACTGGAAAGTCTAAGACCAAGGAATCAGCATGATGAAATCACAAAATGAAACATGATGATGAAAAAGAGGAAGAGGAAGAGGAAAGAGAGTCAGAGAGACAGAGGAGAGCCAAACACACTCTTTTATAAGGAACCCAGTCCTATGATAAAGCCATTAATCTATTAATTGACCCAAGTAGAACCTTCTCAGCCTAAATACCCCTAAATGGTTTTACCATCTAATATAGCTATAATATGAAGTTTCCAGCATATGCTTTTTGATGAATGTACTCAATATACATCTATTTAAAAAAAATTTTTTTTTGTCTTTTTGAGACAGGGTCTCGATGTGCAGTTCAGGCTAGCCTTGAGCTCACTTTGTAGCCTAAGCTGGTCTCAAACTCACAAGGATCCTCCTGCCTCAGCCTCCCAAGTGCCGGAATTACAGGCGTGTGCCACCATGCCTGGCTTCAAATGGAATTTCAGTAACTACTGATAGCTAGGCATGCCTATAATCCCAGCTCTTGGAGGCTAGGACAAGAGGATATACTCAAATTTGAGGCCAGTCTCGGCTACACAGTGAGTTCAAGGTTAACTCACAGAGTGAGATGTTGTCTCAAAAAAGAGAACTACTTCCAATTGTGGTGCACACCTATAATCCCAGCACTCGGGAGGCCAAGGCAGGACTGCCACAAGTTCAAGGCCAGAAGGGATTCTGAGTGGGTGGCCACCCAGATTTTCTGTTAGAGGTGGTTTACACATCAAAACCACATCATGGGTAGAACACTGGTCAACTACAATGAACCTATAGGATTACAAGTATAGTTTCATAGCTAATACTATCCAATAGGGAAACAAGTCACATAGCAAGAGTGTATGGAAAGAACAAAGGCATTTTGGGGCGAGTACACATGTAGATGCTCTGGTCGCTCACCTATGTGTCTTGATGCCTATCTGGACCCACTGGGCAAGGTGGTATTAATTACCATATAATCTCACACTGCTGTTTATCTATAGGGAGGCAAGCAGCCCTGGCTATTTTAAGATTTATCTCTCCCTTCAATCCTGATGTCTTTTTTCTTCCTCCTTCCTTCCTTCTTTCATCTCTTTTGTGCTGACTTCCTTGTGGGCCCAATCCTGTGCATCAATTTCTATCTAACTTAGCTTTCTATAATTTTCCCTTCTCTGAAGAGTTATCTCTACCAGAGTGGGTAAAGTTTCTTTATTTTGGTTTTCTTTTCTTCCTCCATACGGGGGGTCAAACTCGACCTCGCGCTTGCCAGGCAGGGGCTTACGCCTTATGCCGCTGAGCTAAATCCCTGGTCCAAGGGTGAAGTTTCTTTGCTGTAAAGAAGGTAGCAGTCGGGTTTTCTCCAGTCGGTTTTGGATAGAAGTCTTGCTGGGGCTTTGCAGTTATGGCCTTTCTTCAGAAGATCCATCTAGTGGAACCTGGTAGAAAATGTCTGGCACATTTATCATTGATTCCATTTGCATAATCAGGGGGAGTTTAACAACTAGGTGAGAAGAAGTGAATTTTACCACAGGATTAAGCACATATGGTAAAACATAAGCATCAAAGTGGAAACACAAATTAGGGAAAGGAACTAGGTCCAGACACTATTTTTTTTTTGTGTGTATCTTTTTCGTTTTTATCAGTACCTGGGATCAAACTCACGACTGCCTGCTTGCAAGGCAGGCGCTTATGCCGCTGAGCTAAATCCCCAGCCCCCAGACACTATTTTTAAAGGGATTTGAGTAGGGACTGTAACTAGCTGGGTTCTCGACCTATCTGTTTATGGAAATTATCTATAAAGTTTGATTTTTTAAAAGATCTTTTTCTACCCAATGTGAATTTTTTTATCTAAACACAACAAATTTCATAAAAAGTATTATCTGAGAACTGGTTTTTTTTTTAATCAATCATGAATGTCTTAGAAGTCAAATTTCTGTACAATATTAACATAAAAATTAGAAAGTCTTACAGGGAAAATTTGTGAGTAAAGTCAACATAGGATTTTAGTATAACAGTCAAGACATTATTAGAACCATTAGGTTTTGCTACTATCTCTGAAATACATTTATTTATTTTTTAAAGGCAGGATCTCTCTATGTAGTACAGGCTTGAACTTACTATAAAGTCAATGCTGGCCTCAAATATAGAGTGATCCTCCTGCCTCAGTTTGATGGGTACTGGGATTATAGGCATGTAATACCATGCCTACCCCTCTGAAATACCATTTTAAATGGCAGGACTAGATTTAAAAGGATGCCGAATTTTGATTATATGTCTAAAGTCTAGATGCCGTCTTAAATTTCCATTTTAGTACAGCATAACTTTTTAGTCAGTTACATTTAATTATAAAATATTAAATGACATAATAAAAATATTGTCTACATTTGTTGTCTTTTAATAGAGTACCATTAAGTAGAATATACTTGTTTATAGATGTACTTTATAGGTCATTAATGTCTAATCTTTAATCTGTGAAGTGACATTTCCTGGACTGTATATTGTTTAGGTACCTCTGTTACAGCATAATCACATAACACCGTACATAATTACATAATGTGAGCATACTTCTTGAAAAAGTATTTACATCATCTGGCTGATTGTGTTGGACTGGTATGTATAGTTTATTACAAGGAGCTGGAACACAGGTTAAGAGATAACCAAATACTTGAACCTAAAAAGTTTACCAACACAAAAAATTTTTAAGTCTGGAAGTCACCAGTAATGATAAGACTTTTTTTTTCAGTTTGTATCTTTACAGGCCTGTCCACTTAGGAAATACAAATTCATTTAATATACAGTGATGTTTGCAATGAATATCATAACAGCCTAGAAGAAAACAACATATATTTAGTTTTTATTTTCAAGGCAAATTTAGACTCTTTTAATAGGTTTGTAGTGTATAAATGCACTAACAAGAATTAAAGGACATCTTTGAAGCTCTTATTAGTTTAGGAAGTAGTATTAAAGACTCTAACTAGATTACCCAATATTAAAGTGTATCTCACTTATAATAACAAAATGCTTATTTAGTCAAAGCCAGTAGATGCAGATCAAGTTTAAAATGGCAGGTCAGATTTAAAAGGATGCCAAATTTTGATTATTTTATGTGTCTAAAGTCCAGATGCAGATTATATAAATAAGAGCAATTATTAGCTATTTTGTATGCATTAAACTTACATACCTTGCTGTATAAACCTAATTTTAAAGCTTAGACTCACCACATACCTTGTTTGTAGATGTATCTGTAATCCTAGATATGTAGTTGTTTCATAAACTGATAATTGTTCATCAACTGATCACAAACTTAGTACTGAAAACATTTTATAGATTAACATTTAAACAATCTTTAACTCTTTTTTTTTTTTTTTGGTCTTTTTCATTTTTATCGGTACCGGGGATCGAACTCACGACCGCCTGCTAGCAAGGCAGGTACTTATGCCGCTGAGCTAAATCCCCAGCCCCAACAATCTTTAACTCTTAAGATTCGGTTTTTAATAATCAAAAGCCAAACAATAGAAGACACAAGAAATTACCTTAGTAAAATATAGAACTCAAGCTGGGGATTTAGCTCAGCAGCATAAGTGCCTCCCCAGCAAGTGCAAGGTCGTGAGTTCGATCCCTGGTAACCAAAAAGTAAAATAAAATAAAATATATAATTTTGCTTTTTAATCTAGTTTTGTAAGTTTAACCAATGGGCATCTTAAAAACTTACTGCTTTTGACACAGAAACCTTAATCTTGTAAATATAGTCAAGTATATTAGTAGGTATTTCATTAATAATGTCTGTTGTGGTATGCCATCATAAGACTCTGGGAGGAAAAAATGGAGAAGTCCCATCAGTGGATGAAAACTGAACAAATTGTTTCAGGAAGCTGCTGTTTTTAGTCACAAAGGGGCGTTTTGTCCAGCAGTTCCAAGTCTAATTAGATGACTCATGACTAAGTCATACCAGTTCACACTGCTGATATAGATATAGACATAGTTATACATCATTTTTGACAAGAAAAACTCAAACTTTTATGCATAGACAATAAGACATTGCACTTACGAAACTAATTTCTATATTATCTTGGTTGTCTAGCAATCTGGAATGGGACTCAAACTTTTTCAGTTATTTGTTGAGAGTGGAGGATTAAATACAGACCAGTTTTTAAGAATCTTGCAGAATTGGGGCTGGCGATTTAGCTCAGCGGCATAAGCACCTGCCTTGCAAGCAGGCGGTTGTGAGTTCGATCCCCAGTACCGATAAAAATGAAAAAGACAAAAAATTAAAAATTAAAAAAAAAAAAAAAGAATCTTGCAGAATGGTGCAGTCTGGTCAGCTGCAGGGAAGAGATTCGCCCCAGACAGACTGATCAGCATTATTTCTCAGGAGAGGGGCAGTGGAGAAAGGAAAAAAAAAAAGAAAAAAGAGTGCCTCATCTAACAGGTACTTCATGTGACAAACAAAGAATTTTACTTGTCTCCTGACTTTCAAAAGGAGGGACCATTGCCTTGTTTTCAACAGGCCAGCCAGCCGCTGCCCAAAGCATAGGAGCAGGGATACCTGATCCTGCCTGGGCACAAAACCCCTGCCTAGCGGAGCAGCAGAGTAGGAGCTTCACCCCAATAAGTCCCAGGATCTGGAGAGTATTTTCAAGTCTTAAGAGCTTAAGTGGTCCTTATATTTTGGAGTTATTTGGTAAAAGGTGTCTTCATAAATATGAAGACAAACAGGAATATTAATTTGGACTTGGGAGCTGTCACTTTTCAATTTCTATGAGAACAGGAATGTCCACCCTGTTTTTCCCACCACTGTACTTTGGAATCATGTAACAATTTTGGTTTTGTAACAGGTTTATTGCTGAAAAGCCCCAGAACAAATGGTGCCTGGAATTTCACCCATGTCTGATATTTGGTATTTAGACTTTGGATTAAAGTTGATACTGGAACAAATTAAGACTTTGGGGGTTACTGGAATGGAGTGAAAGCATTTTTCCATGTGAAAAGGACATGGTGGGAGAAGGCTGGAATGCAACAGACAACATGTTTGCATCCCCCAAAATTCATATATTGAGATGATTGGTCATGACAGTGAACTCTCATGTAAGAAATTAGCATTCTTAGAGAAAACATGCTGTCGTACTCCCTCAGCCCTTTTACCAGGTGAAGACATGAGAAAATAAAAACCAGGAACTGAACTTGCCAGCACCTTGATCTTGAATTTTTCAGCTTCTAGAACAGTGACAAATGTTACTTATAAGCCATAAAATTTATGGTAATTTTTGTTGACACAGTCTTAATAGATTATGACACAAGCAATAACATGTTTTATGTCTTAAATGATGTAAGGTATTGTAGAATTTTAGTTATAGTTTCTTTTGATATTTACTGCTATCTGGTGAAAATAATAAGTACATTATACATTTATACTATATATGTACAATTATATATGTGTATATACAGAAAACAGCTCATGTAACAGGTATAAACAGCTGATGAGTTTTCTTTTTCTATCATCTTTCCAGGTAATGCATTCTTTATGTATTACAGATAATGCTATTTCTTCTTAAGGCTATTTTCTCACTTATTTTAATAATGCATACACATTGAGTTGAGTAAACACAAAAACTTTTCCTAATATTTGGCTGTAGTGATTTTTCCTGCAGTTTGTATATTTTGCCTATTTGGATCCAGAGATTTAACATTTGATAAGAGTAATTTAATTATTACAGAGGAAGCTGTCTTATATATCAGGAGAAATATTTGGAAAATGAGATTATTTAAAACAGTGATTCTCTCTAACAGTATTCTCTCTCAGAGAGAATACTACTGCATGTTGCAGAGTAAGTGACATGTATTGATATATTAACATTTTAGATGGATTTCAAGGATATTATGCTGACTGAAAAAAAGATCTGAAAGGTTACTGTCTTAATTACAAAATACCTACCACCCAAATTTAAAGGAGTAAAGGTTTATTATAGTCACAGTTTGTAGAAGTTTCAGTCTATAATTGGCTGGCTCGATCCAAGGCACAGTGGCATGGCAGAGGAGCACTGCAAACAGTTCATGGCAGGCATAAGGCAGAAAAGCATGGAACTAGCAAGCAAGCAACTGACAATAGCACTTTTCTGATCCTTTATAGACCATCCAGAGTACTTGCTCTTAGGGCAGGTAGCACTCACACACTTGGTGGGGCACCCTTAATCCCAGCATCACATTCTTAATCCCAGCATCATACACCCTAAATCCAGCCACCTCCAAAAGCCCCACTTATACAGCATGAGACTTTGAGGGGCATCTAGGTGCAAGCCATTACAGTTAGTCCACTTACATAACATTCTTGAAAAGACATAAACATAACAGGAAATAAATTAGTCATTGCCAGAGAATGAAGAGGAGAGGCTAGTTTAGCACAACAAAGGTGTGGTAGCTCAGTGATTAAAAGGACAGCACAGGGTATACAACAAATTAGTACATGTGTAAAGTGAAATCTAAGATTAGTGATTAATTGTTCACATGTTAGCTTCCTGGATTTGCTGCACTATAGTTATTCATTTAGATTTTTTGAGGCAAGGTCTTGCTATGTAGTTCAAGCTGGCCTTGAACTCACTGTGATCCTCTTACCTCCCAAGTGCTGTGTCTACAAATGTGAGTCACCATGCCCAGCCTGTTGCAGTATACTGTATTTAACATGTTTACCCTTGGGGGCTGCGTGAAAAGTACATTCCCAATTTCCTGAGAATCTATAATTATTTCAAAATAAAGTTAAAGAAAAAATTAAACAATATAAATTCATTAAATATTTTATCTATGAAAAAAATCAATCTACTGTATATAGCCCTTTAATTTGTATTCATTAACTTTCATATCCTCAAAGAGATTATAAATTCTATTTTACACTCATCACAAATATGATTTTGGTTAACTAGCCCAAGGCACAGGTAAAGTTAGTTTTAATCTAGAACAATCTAATCTTCTTTAACGAGTAGCTTAATGTAGCTTAACTGAATCGTGATTGGTTTCACTTAACCCTCTAGGCTACTCTCTTTAACAAACAGAGGACTTTACAGTAGCCATTTTCTGTTAGAAAAAAAAAAAAAAAACTCAAGAGTCTTGTGGAGGAAATTGTTGAAATAAAAACTCTAAAGCCAGTGTATGCATAGATGAACAATCTAGGCAAAATTAAGCACTTGTCTTTTTATGCAATTCCTTTCTTTTTGGGTGGCAGGCTTTCAACTAAGTAACCCAGGCTGACTTCAAACTCGGGATCTTCCTGCCTCATCTTTCCTGTATAGAAGTAAAAAAAATATATAGTATTATCTTAACATATTAGCAGTGATGTCTGAAAACTGCACAATCGGACATTTAAGAAATTTCTTGGCAAATCTGTCTCTTGGCTATTGCTTCAATATTAAGTCTGATTTCTCAATACTTCCAAGTGTTTGTAATGTTTTGCCAAAACGCCTAAGGAAAACTACTTAAAATGCATAACCAAAGATGCCAATAGAATGGTGGTTTATAAGACCATTTACAAAAGGGCAAAAATAGATGTAATGAGCCTCAGAATTCATCTCACACACCCAACCTAACTGGAGGCAGTTACGAAGTTCCCTTCCACTTCTTCCATGACAAAGAGAAACGGACTCTAGAAAAACCTGGCGTCTCTTCAGCAGTGGCCTCCTGATACTGAATCTGCTCAATCTCGAATCCTTTCTCGGGGTCCAGCTCACAAAAGCAACTGCATTTCACACTTCCCACTCTGCAGTTCGGCCTTGCACTTTCCCACTACCAGGACCAGTTCCTCCACCCACCGCAGATTAATCCGCTACGCCTCATTACTATTTCGCCGCCTGCGCAATTTGCGGTCACGTGGCAGCGCCCGCCCAATGACCGAAGCCCACGCTTGCTTGACCGCCGCTGCGCTCACAGCGCCTGACCTCGCTCTGCGCCCCGCCCCGAGCGGTGGGTACGCCCAAATTAAACCTCCCCGGAGATCCAGGCCCCTTGGACTAAGTGTTCCTACTAGGCGTTATTTCCCAGATAGGCCAACAGAGCGCGTCCTGATTAACTTGTCTGGAAGCAGTGCAGGGACCTATTTGAGACAGGGACCACTTCCTGAAGCGCGAGGCAGGAAGTTGGTACTTGTGGAGTCCGGTGGAGAAAGTGCTGTCTGCCGCATTGGTGGCGGCGACAGCTGGAGGCGGTTTGGGGGATAGGCCTCTTGGTCACCCTCCTTCGGTCCCCAGTTTAGAATTTGATTTTCTTCGCAGCACCACGGCCCCCTTGTCCAGTCCTGAGCCCGGTGCGGCTGTCCGGGAGCCTTGGTCAGGTTCCTTGGAGCCGCTCCCAGAGACACCTGCCCAGGTACTGCCTGGGCCACCAGCCTGGGTACTGGCTCCCTGCTTCAGCCCTCTGGACCTCACTAAGCAGTACGCTTATCGTTCCACGCTCTGTCCCCTCTCCTCAAACCAGCGAGACCCTGGTCCAGAGCAACTGCCGTGGACCTGGGACTAGAACGGATCCAAAACGCTCAGCCTCGGCCCACCACAGACAGGACTCTGCATGGTCTCCGATATGTCGCCCACCGTGTCCCACAAGGACCACAGTCGGCAACGGCGGCCTGGGACTTTCAACCATTCCCTGGAAGTGAAGACCGGCCCTCTGCCCCCGGGCAGCTGGGATGACAGTCCGTCAGACTCGGTGGGCGGGGAAGAGGACAGAGAAGCGCTCCTGAGGGATGCTGACACTGGTAACTTCTTGAAAGTCCCGCGGAGCTGTCGAGCTGAGATAAGCAGCATTTTGTTACTGCTGTTTCTTTACGTGCTTCAGGGCATCCCCTTAGGCCTGGCGGGGAGCATCCCACTCATTTTGCAGAGCAGAAATGTTAGCTATACAGATCAAGCTTTCTTCAGTTTTGTCTTTTGGCCCTTCAGTCTCAAGTTGCTCTGGGCCCCGTTGGTTGATGCAGTTTACTTCAAGAACTTCGGTCGTCGCAAATCTTGGCTTGTCCCTACACAGTATACACTAGGTCTCTTTATGATATTTTTATCCACTCAAGTGGATCATTTGCTCGGAAATACCGACGGCAGAACACCAGATGTGGTTACCCTCACTGTGACATTCTTTTTGTTTGAATTCCTGGCCGCCACTCAGGACATCGCTGTGGATGGTTGGGCATTAACTATGTTATCCCGGGAAAACGTGGGTTATGCCTCCACTTGCAATTCGGTGGGCCAAACAGCAGGCTACTTTTTGGGCAACGTTTTGTTTTTGGCTCTTGAATCTGCCGATTTTTGCAACAAATACTTGCGGTTTCAACCTCAACCTAAGGGCATCGTTACTCTTTCAGGTAGTGTATTGTAAGTTTTGTGTTGTTTGGCTTATTTTACACTTAGGAATTCTTTTGACACTTTAACTTTGAAGGAAAGTTATTTAATTTACTGGAAATCGTTATGGTTGATGACTCAAGTTGTGTTTTCTGTTTCATTAAAGTGGACTTCCTTGAAGTGTCAGTAAAATAAGGACCACTACATAAGAGCAATCACAGTTGATCAGTATTTTTCAGTAAACAGGGAAAGGCAACATGAAATAAAATTTTGAGTTTAGGGGTCCGCAACACTTGCTTAATATACAGATGCACATTTTAAAAAGCCTAGCTCATGTGGCTCACATTTTCCATTTTGTGTTTTGGCAGATTGTTTCCTAGCACGTTGCTTTCTGATCCGTGCCAGTAGTTCTCTAGTCTTTTGTGAATGCAGCAGGGTTAATTCATGCAGACCTTACTGAATTGGCTAACAGTATCCTAAGGACCTCCTATAAGTAAGTCAGAGACCTACCATCAGGAATGGGAGAGATGAATATTTCAGAGGCGCCTGGAGTTGCCATCCATGGACTGCCTGTGGGAGCTAGGTTTTATACGTGGCAGTTAACATGACTTTGTCCTTTGCTGGGTTTTTATTTAGATTGATTTGTTCTTGCAAATAGCAGGTTTATTAACTGTGAAATGTGAACTTTGCTTTCTTGGAGAGTCTGAAAGCAGTTTACTTTTTAACCACCTGCCATTCTCAGTACTGGAAATTAACAAGGCCGTTGCTAGGCCTACACTTGTGATCCTCTTGCCTCAGTCTCCCAGAGTTTTGTTTCAGGTGTGCATCATCAAACCTAACAATTTTTGTATCTGCAGTGGTCTTCCTATTTTTGGTTCAGACATTTTAGTTAAGAGTTAAAGAGTTCCTGTGATTTTTTTATTCTCCTCTAAATGATTACAAATATCAGATTTATAGTTTTGTGTTTTGTGGAACTTAGTATTTAGCCAGTAGGGTTGGGGTTTTTGTTTTTGTTTGTTTGTATGTGTGGTGCTCAGAGTTGAATCAAGGGGTTGTGCATGCTAGACAAGTGCTCTACCATTGGGCTAAATCTCCAGCCTTAACCAATGGTTTTAAAGAACACAGAATCATATGGAGGAAACAGTTAAAGAAGAGCTAAACCACGACAGTATTTAGAAAAGCTGAGTATTAAAATGAAGCATCATTACTTTTAAAATTCTAAACTTGTACTGTATTTAACACTTTTGCATGTAATAGAGATGGAAGATAGTGAGGATATGTATTGCTGAAGGGAGCACAAGATGGAGTGTACAGTACTGAGAAAGAACAGTATTTAGCGTCTAGAAAACAGTAATCTACATAGTAAATGTAGGCCCAGAGAGATAGGAAAAAAGTATAATCCCTTAGAAACAAACATTAATTATGCTGAGATTGTCTTTTTCATACATTTACAGATCTCTGACAGTCCTGAATGCAGGAATAGCTTTTTTTTTTTTTTTTCCTTACCCACTTTTGTTTTTCAAGAGTCTATAGAGGCAAAGAGAGATCTTCTAAGTTGTAAGAAAGGTAAAAGTAATTTAGAAGAGCCTAAAGATTGAAACATAAAGTTTTGTTATTGAAAAGATCATGTGTTTCAATTTTCTTTATTCTTATAGATGAAGAAACTGAGATCAGAGTGACAAATTAGAGGTACAGATATATATGTATCAAGTGTTTTTCCTACAGTTAGTAGGAAATTAGGAAAAACCTCAAGGAAAGCTTGAGGCCTAAATATAATATGTGCTGACTAGGCTTTTCTACCAAGGAAATGTAGCACTGTGGCTCCTGATGTATAAAAACACAACATCCCACTCTTAAAATGTCTGATTGTCAGAACTGATGTATTAAAAGTTTTTTGTTTTATTGAATTAAAAAAATTTGTTTTGGTGGTTTAGGGTATTGAACCTAGGACTTTCATGCTCAGCAACATCCTCAACCCTTTTTTTAATTTTTTTAAGTGAGAGTCTCGAGTTCCTGTGTTGTCCAGGCTGGGTTGGAACTTAGGTTCTTCCTGTCTGAGCCTCTCAGAGTGTTGAAAGTGTAGGGGTTCACCATCGTTCACCATCGTTCACTATTTTAATTTTTAACTAACTTATGCCATTTATTTACTCATCATTAAATGCTTATCTGGTGCTAGCTGAATGATAGGTGTTATACTTTATTAAAATACCAGAATTTTCTGCTCCTAAGGAACTCATAGATTATCGTAGAGATCTGTAAACCAAAATGACTCAGTGGATGGATAATAATATAAATGAGTGGGTTGACAGAGTTGGTGCAAGACTGTAGGAGCTGTGGAGGATAATGAGGATCTAAGAAACTCGTACCCCTCTGACAGCAAGAAGTTTCAGTCTAATAAATTTTGTCTTGTGACAGTAGGATTTCAGAATTCTTAGGCCTTATCCATGTTCAAGGAAATCTGGAAATTCCCTTTTTATTTCCTAACTTGAAACACTTATTAGCATCATATAAAATACATCATTAGGCTGTATCCAGCCTGTGATCTGATATTTGAAACTTCTCTAGTATTAGTAGTAACACTAAAGATTAAAAGAAGTAGCTGAGATCAGGAGCAGCACACTGGAGTTTGGGAGCAGGGTAGCCAGACACTAGAGAAGAGAGGCAAAGATATTAGAGTTCATAGTCAGATTTTTTTTGACAGGCATACTCTTACATGCATGCCTCTATTTCCTTTCAATCAAAGGAAGAGGGTATGTTACTTTGCAAAAGCAAATGCTGTAAGTATGAATCTAATCAAACTTGTGATGTTACTAAAATAGCAGCTACTTTAAAGACATTCCTGCTTTGAACTAGGAAGAAAGCAGGACCATTGATTCCTACCTACTTAATGACAATTGCTTTTCTTTGCTTTCAGAAACAGTTCTCATTTATATATTATATACAACTAGAAATGCTTGTTATAGAATTTCAGCATGCTAATTGACCCATTACTACTTAAAACATTTGTTCTTAGCCAATAATACGTCCTTTACCATTCATATCTAGGCTTAAAACATTACCTTGCATTCTCAAAATGACAAATATGTAGGGGTAGAAGACAGATCTATTTGGCTAGGGGTATGTGTGGGAGAAGTTAGATGAGTATAAATGAACATATCAGGAACTTTTGGGGGAGTGATCTATGTCTTGATTATGGTTATGATTCGAAATCTGCATGTTTTCAAATTCATACTACAGTACACAAAAAATTTCAATTTTGTATGATTATTGAAAGTAAAATAAATAATTATTTAAAGTAATTTTTTAAAAAATCTATTACCTCAAAAGTTCATTTCTAGGTAAATATTACTTGATGTATATGATATGAAATCTTTGAGCTTAACACCCTTTTTGCCTTTGGTGGAACTATCAAACAAATCTCGTGAATCTTACATATCCATATAGAAAAACGGAGCAAATTTGAACTTATTTTTAAATGTTGGAGCCGTAGTAGTAAAATGAAATAAATATAGGGACACTGGGGTTAGTAGATTGAGGGGGTTTTATGTATAAAAAAATCAGAGACTTATAGCCCAGAAGTAAGGTTATAAAGCCTTTTTTCTTTTTAAATTTAAAGCAAATGATAAGTTTGTTTGTTTGGTTATGTGAAGAACTGAGGAAATACCTGTTTCATACTTCATGGTTGGCACTAAAATATATTCCCTTTGCTCAGGTGTTTCTGGATGATGGAAAAGAGCACCTGCTTGGTCTGGGTATATCTGCATCTAGACAGCATAATGGAAAAATATTGGCCTGAGTTTAAATCCTACATCTGGCATTTTATGACTTGTGATCATGTTTATCTGTGAAGTAGGAATAATAATGCCCTGTCTTTGTAATTTGTTTGTTTTTGTTTTTAAAGGCAGCATCTCACTGTGTATGTAGTCCAGGCTGGCCTCAAACTAGAGGCAGTCTACTGCCTCAGCCTCCTTAGTGCTGGGATTAAAGGCGTGTGCCACCAGTCCCAGTTTTGTGAGTAATTTTTGAGAGTTAAATGAGGTTACCAGAATTTTCGAATTGGAAGGTTTGGCTTTGGGGATCCCAGTGAATCAAAACACCAATCAAGGAGACCAGCAGTGATAGGCAGAAGTAAAGGAGCTTTAATCAGTGTAACCATGTTGGGAAGCATAGATAAAAAGGATAGATATGTCTTTGCAGCTAGGCATGGTGAGAAAAATGATATGTGTAAAATATGTTGCATGTTTATGGCACAGTATGCATTGAATTAATAATGCCTGTAGACAGACACAAGGCAGCATACCTATAATGTCAGCTAACTCACTAGATTAAGGCAAGGGAATCGCAAGTTCAAGACTAGCCTGGACAACTTAGTAAGACCCTATCTTCAAAACAAATGAAAAAAATGGAGGATGGATAAGATGTAGGTGAGTGGTGGAGTACTTGGATCCCTGAGTTCAGTTCTTGGTACCAAAAGAAAAACTAACCAATGAGAAAATAAAGTAATACTTCTATTTTTACTGTTTTACTATTTTTTTTTTTTTCTTTTTTGAGATGGGGTCTCACTATGCAGTTCAGGCTGGCCTTGAGCTCACTTTGTAGCCCAGGCTGGCCTCAAACTGGCAAGGATCCTCCCACCTCAGCCTCCCAAGTGCTGGGATTACAGGCATGAGCCACCACGCCCAGTTTATTTTTACAGTTATTTTTAAGCAGACTGTTTAACAACTCTCCCAGACCATTACTGACTCCCACTCTTAAATTTGTCCAAAGGTAATAGCTTATGGTCTAGCTGTCTTTCTCTGAAACAACAGCACACTTCTCTGTATTCTATACCTAGAGAAGGTTATGCTTAAACAAAAACATTACAAAATTTAAAAAGGGAAAATCTGATGTAAAGAATCATCTGTTGTTTATTGACTGGCTTGTCATAACTGAAATGACATGGGTATGTAAGTATGACTAGAGGTGTCATGGGATACAGAAATCATGCTCCACCCTAGCACTTTACTTGAATAAAATGGCACAATAGGCTTTTGTTTCATTCAGCTCAGTTATGTACGAAATGACTATAATCTTGTATTTTTCTTAAGTGCCACTGTTTATTTTGCATAGATCTAAGATACATTTAAAAGTTTATGATTGTTCTATCTTTTGTGCTTGGAATAATGCCTTGAGCATCATAAATAAGCATCTAAAAGGTTTTTTGTTCTGTTTTTAAGTTGAGGAAAAATTTTGTACAGAATTATTTAGCATCAATAAAGTTATGTCACTTTAAAAGTTACTTACACATTAAAAATGTTCTTAATTTCAGATTTTCTTCTTTTCTGGGGAACTGTATTTTTAATAACAACAACTTTAGTTGCCCTTCTGAAAAAAGAAAACAAAGAAGTATCAGTAGTAAAAGAAGAAACACAAGGGATCACAGATACTTACAAGCTGCTTTTTACAATTATAAAAATGCCAGCAGTTCTAACATTTTGCCTTCTGATTCTGACTTCAAAGGTAAGAAATTTATAAAGCAAATTTACCATTCTAGTATGATGATCAATATCATGGACTACATTCAATGACTTTTCTTTTTTTGCCTTTTTCCTTTTTATCGGCACCAGGGATCGAACTCACAACTGCCTGCTTGCGAGGCAGGCGCTTATGCCGCTGAACTAAATCCCCAGCCATTCAATGACTTTTCATATCATCAGTTCCTTTCTACTATCATTAGAATTTAACAATGAAAAACAATATTTCCTGTTTATTAAATGTATTTTAAAAAATATTACATCAGAACAATTTCAGAGTAAGCCAAATATCTTGAGGCGCCTTGGAAAGAATTATGTCAATATGTGAAGAATTGCCAATAATTGAAATTTTTAACTGTGTTAATGTTTGCAATGGAAATGCATAGCTTTAAAGAAGTAATAGCTGTCTGCTATTATAATGAACATAACTTTAATGCTGGGATAGTAAAATTACTTGCTGAGAATAGGTTTACTAAGATATGGAAGTGTATCAGTACTAGAAGTCTATTAAAAAGCCATTGAATTTGGTTTTGTGAGACAGGGTCTCACTGTGTATTTCTGGCTACCCTCTAACTCATGTAGCTCAGGCCGCCCTGGAACCTGCTGTGATTGATCTCCAGCCTCCTAATATTTTTTTAAAATAGTTAAAGGAAACAAGATAAATGAAACTACAGTACCGGTGACTTTTATTCTGTATTAAAATGTTTCATAGTTCTAAAATGCTTCTTTGTGTGTGCATGTGTGTGTCATACTGAAGACTGAACCCAGAGTCTTCACATTGAGCTACATCCCCAGACCTTTTTTAATTATTTTGAGACAGGTCCTTGCTGAGTGGCCAAGTTGCCAGGCTGGGCTCAAATAAGGTCCTCTTGCTTCCCCTTCCGCGAGTGCTGGGATTCCAGGTGTGCAGCAACATCCCCAGCTAGTTTAAAAGCATTTTAAAGGCTTTATACTAGAGAAGGATAAGCATATTTTATAACAGTGAGTTGTTGCCACTCTTGGAATTAATATTCTCAAATCTAGAAATGTATAGGATTTTCATTTTGTATATTTAGACCTATCTATATAAACACTATGGCTTTTTACAGCCTCCAAGGAAACAGCTTTATTGTTTTTATTTTGAATGTTTTTCTTCCTCTTCAGTGATAAGAAAGGAAAGTTTAGAAATGCTAAATAGTTCAAGGAAGATAATATTATCTCATTATATCACTTAGTGTCATAAGCTTTCAGTCTGGCATTGTACTCACTACTGTAGCCCAGGCTGACCTAAAACTTGTGCTCCTTCTTCATCTTCCACATGCCAGGATTACAGGCCTATGCTACCATGTCTGACTGATAGCATACTTTTAATAGCAATATAAAAGTCATAATGGTGGAAATTTGTCATAATTTTTTTTCGAGGTTTTTTTTTTTTTTTTTTTTTGTACTGGAGATCAAACTCACAACCTCACGGGCTTGCCAGGCAGGGATTTACACCATTGAGCTACATCCCCTGCCCAAGTTGCCATAACCTACTCAGAGGGGCTGGAGATTTAGCTCAGTAGCATAAGCACCTGCCTTGCAAGCAGGCAGTCGTGAGTTCGATCGCTGGTACCGATAAAAAGGAAAAAGACCAAAAAAAAAAAAAAAAAAAGAACCAACCTACTCAGGCATTTTTCTGTTTTATATTTTAATTTGCTTATGTTTTTAATTATAAAAATGCACTGGTGAACATTTTTGTGCATAAGCCTTTATTTGATTTTATGAAGATTTTTAAGTAGATTCACAAATGGGAAATTCAGTGGGTCAGTGAATATGACTTACGAATTGTTGTAAAAGTTTGTACTATGCCGGGCGTGGTGGCGCGCACCTGTAGTCCCAGCTACTCGGGAGGCTGAGGTGGGAGGATCACTTGAGTGCAGGAGTTCTGGGCTGCAGTGCGCTCTGCCGATGGGGTGTCTGCACTAAGTTCGGCATCAATATGGTGACCTCCCGGGAGCGGGGGACCACCAGGTTGCCTAAGGAGGGGTGAACCGGCCCAGGTTGGAAACGGAGCAGGTCAAAACTCCCGTGCTGATGAGTAGTGGGATCGCGCCTGTGAATAGCCCCTGCACTCCAGCCTGGGCAATATAGTGAGACCCTGTCTCTTAAAAAAAAAAGTTTGTACTAACTTATATTATCCCTAGCAATGTATAAAGAAGGACTTCAGTTACAGAGGTGAAATCCTTTGTTGTCTTTTTAAAGTAAACCGCACAAAAAATGACATTTCTCATAATTTTTAATACTAGAAATTAATTTTCCTTTTAAGTTTCATATAAATCGACTGTGCAATATACTTTGTGTAGTTTAACTCATATTATTATTTATAACAACAGGTCATTCATTTTGTGGCTGTATTCCACTGTGTTCTTATGCCACTATCCATTCTGCCAACATATGTTTGGAGCTATTATAAATAGTGCTTCTGTAACATTCACATACATGACTTTTGTTGGACACAGTTATATGTTTCACATGGATAAATACATAGGAGTGGAATTACTGGGCCATGGAAATGCATAGAATATATTGCCAGTTTTCCAAAGCTGTTACAATCTTCTATACTTTCAACAGTGTGAATTGTTGTCCTTGAAAATATATACAATCTTTTAAATGTCACCCTTTGTAAGGCCTGGTGAGTGTATAGAGGTATCTTGATTATGATTTTATTCTCTTAATGGTTAAAGAAGTGTGAGCATCTTTTCATATTATTATTGGCCATTTGAATATTCAAAGCAGTCTTTTTCTGTATATTTGTAAAAAAACATTTTGAATATAAATGTTTTAATACATGTATTACCAATATTTCTTAGCATATAAGTTTTAATGAATGTTAAGTTCTATTTGGATATCTCATTTTTACTAAGAAAACAGATAAAATGTAAATGAAATTATTTGCAGGCTACACTGAAATAGCCTTGACCTTTAATATTTTTTAGTGAAATATGCTCTTTGGTACCATTCTAAGAAGTTGAAACATTTACCATTCATAATATATTTTTTAAAAATATTTATATAATTTTACACTCATGGAAAATGTACTAGTAGAAAGAACTTCCATATGTCCTTCATCAAAATTTTTAAATTATTAACATTTAGCTCTACTTTTTTTATTCTGTAGATTTTCTCTTCTCTGTGTATCACATATTTCTTCTGAAATATTTGATTAATTTGCATAGCAACACATTAAAACCTATTTCCTGTAAATGGAACTTTGAGGAAACCACAGTCCAACATTTTGGAAATTTAGGATTGGTACAGTATCTATTCACTGCCTTATTAAAGGTTCACCAGTTGTAGCAGTAACAGCCTGTATAACTTTTTATTTTTTTCATAGTCCAGGATCACACATTGCATTTGATTGTTATGAGCCTTTCTTCATAATCTTAACATTTTTTGAAAATTCATTCCAGCTCTGGGGCTATATGTGTAACTCAGTGGTAGAGTGCTTGGTTTGTATGTGCCAGGTCCAATCTTCAATGCCACACCAAAAAAAAAAAGGAAAATCAGAAGCAGAACAAACAAAAAGTCTCCAAAAGAATAGATGCCAATTTATCTGTAGAATGGCTTTTCATTTGCATTGGTCCCATTTCTTCATGCTTGTGTTTAGGTTATGTATACATGGCAGGCAAATCACAGAAGTAATATTTTGATGTTTTAAAGAAATTATAGAAGGAGCAACAGTATGTCCCTCTATCCCCTTAATTATTGTTTTTGATTCAGTTTACTTTATTAATCCATTGCAAAGGTAGTTTTACCTTTTGTAATTAGAAACTAATTTGTGCAGAAAGTAGAACTTCATAGTAAAGTGATTGCCTAGCATGCTATTGGCCCTGGGTTTGATCCCTAGCACTATGAAACATGACAAAACATTAAAAAGAAATGAGCAGATACTTTTGAGACTACCTAAATATCTCATTTACTTCAAATTTTTACTAACTACTTTCATCATCCTCTTTTTTATTGTTTGTAAAAATTGTATTTCCTCATCTTCATTTTATTTAACTTCTGGAATATTGTTTTCTTAGAATTACTTTCAAAACATCAGATAACCTTAGAAAATTTTATTATGATTTGTCAGAAATTATCAAAAACGTGTATGTGTATACATGTGTGTGTGGCGCTTAACCAGAAATATTTAAGGCTAATTAAATACTTTTAAACTTAAAATATGCAAATCAATTACTGTGAATTTTTGACATTAATATGACAGATTGGACTTTATTGAAGTAGAAATTTAGCTGTAATTAGACCATCTACAATAAATACAGGTAGTGAATTTTTTGTTGTTTTTACTAAATATAAATAGTTAAGATATAGGGCAAAATGTGCCTTCTATAAATTGATTGTTTTATCAGATGTAACCGTGTGATGCTTGTAACTGTCATGAATCAGTAGTGAAATGTGATGGTTCTTAATACTTGAAGGACAATATTTCATAAGTCACAAATTAAAATACTTTTTTGTTTTTATATTGCAGATTGGTTTTTCAGCAGCAGATGCAGTGACAGGACTGAAACTGGTAGAAGAGGGAGTACCTAAAGAACATTTAGCATTACTGGCAGTTCCAATGGTTCCTTTGCAGATAATACTGCCTCTGATTATCAGCAAATATACTGCAGGTCCCCAGCCACTAAACATATTTTATAAAGCCATGCCCTACAGGTAAAAACTAAATAAAACCATACTAAAGTAAGAAATCTCAAAGTGGGACATTCATCACTGTTATGAATATCTGAGTATAGAGTATGAGTGTATACAGAAAATGCTTGATGAACACTCTTTTTTTTTTGGCTTTTTCGTTTTTATCGGTACCAGGAATCGAACTCACGACTGCCTGCTTTCTAGGCAGGCGCTTATGCCGCTGAGCTAAATCCCCAGCCCCATGACGAACACTCTTAATGCTAATGCCTTCTGTATGTACTTTTCTCTAACTTCTTACCTGATTTTTAGATACAGGCTTCTTTCATATGATTGGCACACAGAATTCTGCTTTGTTGCTGTTTAATCTAAAATGAAAATTAATATTGCTCCTTTTTCTATAGATTATTGTTTGGATTAGAATATGCTCTGCTAGTTTGGTGGACCCCCAAAGTAGAGCATCAAGGAGGATTCCCTATGTATTACTATATTGTAGTGCTGCTGAGTTATGCCTTACATCAGGTAAGCTTGCTGTGCCTTTCTCGAGAAGTAAACTATTATATGTCAAGAAATTTTTCTGCAGCTGCCTTCAAATAATAAATTAAACATGAATGTGACAATGAAAAGTATGTGACGAACTGCAAGCCTTTGGCTTTTGATTTCATGAGTTCTATTTGTAAAAAGGAAGCTTCTTATTCATTCATTCATTCTTTTCATTTTTCTTTCCTTCCACAAGAATTTGTTACATAAAAAAAAATTTGTTACATGCTAGAACAGATTTCAAAGCCAACTAATTTTACTCTTCCCTCAGACTATCTCTAGATCTGAGTTCTTTCTTTAATTTTTAATATCTTTACTTCCTGAAAATATTGACAAATAATCATGGCTACCGGATTAAAGATCCCAGGCTTTGGTTTAGATAATGTACTGAAAGTTACAACTTAGTCTTTATAATTTTGGAAGCTGCTTTTTCTTTGTTATCTGTTTGTAACTCCTAAAAGAAGTGATCTCCACTTTTCTCTAGCCACATCTAAATTCTTATTGTTCTAGATACAGGTGATTCAAGTAAATGACAGAGGCCCAGTAGTAAATTTTGATACTCAGTAGCATTTATTACTAATGTGTGTTTCACTTTGGTTTTTGCTTTCAGAATTAGTGTAAACCTTTTATTATATTTGCTTCTTACTTAGTTCTTAACTTAAAATGAGGCTAATAGCTAATCTCAACAGTTTGTTTTGCATACAATTAAATTACAATCCATAGTGGTAGTTTGATTATACCATATATTTTTGAAATTGAAGCCAAGATGTCAAAAAGTTTTTGTTTTGCCCGCTGGTAATGCCAGGCACAAATAGAAGTTAAAAGAAATGTGTTCGGTTAAATTTTTTTCTATTTTAGGTAAAGAAAAACTAGGTGTTATAGTCCAAAAAGTATTTAGTTAGCTTTAGATTTCATTAGAGAATTTACCAAAATATTGATTAAAGATTTAAGCAACTAAATGCTCTATGAGAAAAGGGTACAAGGCCAAGTAAGTTTGACAATGATTTATTATGTAACTCCTTGGTAAGCTGCACCTTAATCATTCCTTGAAAAAATCTTAGACACCCATTCCATGCTAGAAACTATTTCGAGTACAAAAATGTAACTGAATTAAGATGTGTTATATACATACGCCACCTCCTTATGAGGAATGTGATTGTGTTGTATTGCAAACATGTACTAATAAAATAAAGATTGAGCACTCGGGAGGCTGAGGCAGGAGAATCGTTGCAAATGCGAGACCAGCCTGGGCTACAAAGTGAGCCCAGTGTTAGGCTGAACTGCATAATGAGTACCTGTCTCAAAAAGACAAAGAAGGAAAAAAGAAAGAAAGATTGAAAAAATAATTCGCTTAGACAAAGTAGGACACAATTTGCAAGAAAAAAATGATAGTTTGTAAAAATAAAAACTGAATAATATCATGCCAAAATCTTTACTCTCTCAAGGAATTTATATCCTAAGAACTGTCATTAAAAAAGAAAACTTTTACATTTTGAGTAACTTTGTGTGTCTCCATCTTATTTGAATTTGGAACTCCTTTTCTGTGAACAACTCATGGAACAGTGCTTAAAAGAATACTATTTTAGAAACATAATTTATTTCAGTCTTTGTAAGTGCAAAGTTAATTTTTGCTTTGTAAGCAATTTTTGGTTTTTCAATACTGGAGACCAAACCTAGCATTTCTGCACTGAGCTGCATCTCCATCTTTTTTTTATTTTTTGAGAAGGTTCTTTTTTTGGTACCAGAGGTTAAACTCAGGGCTTTATCCAGGCATGCACTGTGCCACTGAGCTGCATCCTCAGTTTGAGACAGGTTCTTAAATTGTGAGTCTCCTGTTTCAGTCTTCCAGAATGCCTGAATTACTGGCATGTGCCATCACATCCAGTTCCTTTTGTCTCTTAAGGTTTTTCTTGGGCTGAGAATGTAGCTGAGTGGTAGAGCTCTTGTCTAGAATGCTACAGGCCATTGCAAAAAAAAAAAAAAAAGGTTTTTATTGTCCCTTTGCCACATAAAGTTTGAAATATTTTCTTCTGTATATATAGAAGAGAAAAAGTATTCATTTCTTTGAGTGTTTACATATATAATACATATACAAATAACTTACATATATTCATGTGTATGTAGCTACAATACAAGTATCAGACTATCAGGCTTTGCTTTTTGTTATTTGCATCCTTCATGTCACCTTTCCTGCCACTTTCTGTTGAACATTCTTTACTCATAGAAGAATTATAAAGATACTTATCACATCTTTTTTTTTTTTTTTTTTTTTTGGTACTGGGGATCAAACACACAATCTTGCGTTTGCCAGGCAGGCACTTGTGCTGCTGAGCTAAATCCCCGGCCTAAACTTACTGTATACTTATAAGTATTTATTCCCTATTTTCCTGGCCTATAATAAAGTCTTCAGAAGCACAGAAGTACTTTCTTATTCATCTTTGTATTGCCATGGTCTTAAAGTCTCATTGTTAATATGTGTTCAACAAATGTTTGTTGAATTGAGTTCAGTAACAATCATGAAAATTAGTTTTCCCACTTTGATGTTTTTAATTTATGTCAGTTCTGTAAGTCTAATCATAGTGACTAAAGACATACTCTTGTGTTAGAGCACTTGCTTAAGATGTATGAAACTGTGGGTTCAACTCCCAACACAAAAGAAAAACCAAACAAACAAAAAATGATCTAATCACACTAAGGATGTTTTGCCTTTTTTCTGTAGGTTACAGTATACAGCATGTATGTTTCTATAATGGCTTTCAATGCAAAGGTTAGTGATCCACTTATTGGAGGAACATACATGACTCTTTTAAATACTGTATCCAACCTGGGAGGAAACTGGCCGTCTACAGTTGCTCTTTGGCTGGTAGATCCCCTCACAGTGAAAGAGTGTGTAGGGGCATCAAACCAGAATTGTCGAACACCCGATGCTGTTGAGGTAAGCATGTTTTAATTTTAGATAATATTAAGTAAACATTAAGATATTAATTTCTTTGCCTCTGGAAATACTGTATCTTATTTAAAGATCATATCTGTTCATAGTGTCTAGTGTAGAAATCTATGAATACCCCCTTCTCCATCAAACTTCAGGTTATAAAACTTTCATAGCAGCAAGGCTAGCCCATCTGAGCAAAGGAAGAGGAATCTCTCTCCCAACTTAGGATCACCATCCTTTTGAATAATGTACAAATAATGGCTGTTTTATAATGATAGAAAAGGGAAAATTCCAGTGGCTATTGATAAAAAAAAGACTCGTGAGTGGCTTGTAGATAAATTATTTTAAAATATCATTACTTCTCAAGTGAGTTCCTTGACAATGTCTTCACATTTCCCAATATGTAATGCTGCATTTTGAAAATGAATGTTTAGATCAAGAATTCAAAGTTGCTTTTAATCCTGTTAATAGCAGTAATGATTAAGATACATTAAAATATTTTGCCATTTGAAGTGAGTGAAGTATTGAAATATTTTAACAAAATTTTTATTAAGCCTTTAACTTACAAAGTAGAAATAATTTCTGAATACTGTCATTTTGAAATTGTGAAATATTCATTATAATTTAATTTTTACAGCTTTGCAAAAAACTCGGTGGCTCATGTGTTACAGCACTGGATGGTTATTATGTGGAATCCATTATTTGTGTCTTTATTGGATTTTGTTGGTGGTTCTTTCTTGGACCAAAGTTTAAAAAGTTACAGGATGAAGGACCATCTTCATGGAAGTGCAAAAGGAGCAATTAATGCATAGACTGTTGGATGTTCTAGAAGGTAATTGTAGTTTGGTTTTAATTCAGAGAGCTGTGATAATCAGTGCACAGGAATATAAAATATTATTTTAAGTATGGAAATTACTAATACAAAATGCCAAATGGTTGAAAAATAGAAACTTGGTGTATTTGTTCATATTTTTCCTTTGCCTTGTCAATGTATTTAAAGTTTACTTACAGACAGGAAATTTGTTCTCAAACAACTTTTATAGCCTTGTTATTTGGTTTATATCTTAATTTACTGACCAAAGCATGTTTTAAGCTGCAGTGTAATAGTCAAGGCTGGTAACCAGTCAAGTATTGTTACTGGTACCTATCATTGAATTGTATTTAAAATTTTGATATGGTATATTAAATGGAAGAGAACTTGATATTCAAGAGCTAACTATAACTGATCTGATCTGATCTTGTTAGCAGTTAAAAATTTTATTTTGAATTGTAAGTTTGTTAAATTTCATGTGGAATTTGCTGAGAAGAGATTGTAAACTACTGAAACATCATTTAGTTGATTTCTGACCATAACCATATTGTACAGCTGAATCTGTGTGGAAAAGACTATTTTAAATGTATTCCTGCTTTTGTAAACAGTAAAGATTTATAAAACAATAATTTAAACTATTTTTTATAAAATGAAAGCTACAGTTTTTAATTTATTGATTTCCCCTACCCTGCCCCATTTTTGGAAGATTCTTTGATTCTTTGTTACTTTTACCCTAATAGTTATGTATGTTTTTTGTCACAAGTACTTCATGGCACACAGACAGCTCCTGGGGGGATCAAATTTAGTGTTGTGTGTATGTTCATGACAAAGTTTTGAAAATAAAAATTAAATGTCATTCTTTAAGTTCTTTTTTTAATTACTAAGAAAAATATTACATCTTTCCAATTAAGTAAAATCAAAATGAGTGATATAATTAAAATATCTTAAAGAGAGGGAGGAACATTTTGTGCCTTTGACAAATCATGTCGTAGGAAAACATTTCTTAAGCACTTTATTACTAAAAATGATCTTACCATACTTTATGCCAAATCAAGTACTGTACTGTATCTTTTCAATTTATTAAAACACAACTTTCTGTTTGTAAACTATGGTTTCCAGTGGAAAACTGCTATTCCAAGAGTAAAAGTTTTTGAGTACATTGGCACTTTTCAATGTATTATTTACACCCAGTAGGATAAGGTTCTTGGCATATTTTGTGTTAAGTAGTACTTTGATTCTTTAGAAATTATATAAATTCTTTAAAAGTTAGGGAAAAAATCAGTTAAGAGTTTTTAGTTTTATCTTTGTGAGAAAACATATACTAACTCCTGGTTTTATTAATTTTATAACATAGATTGAATTTTAGAGCAGGGTTTTTATAAGTAATGGAGAATAAACTAGGTAGGAGAAAATACCGCACAGCATCTGAAGGAAGATAGTAGGCAGTGGCCTCTGCAACTCCTGCATTACCATTGGAAAACCTGTGTTGGGTATGGAAGTCAGCCTGTGAAGAATCACCTGGAAAAATACTCATCCTAGAGGAAAGGAAGGGATACCAAACCACAGACTACAGTACGTGGTCACATGATTTTCCACTGTCATGTATTATAATCAAAATGTTTACTTGAATAAAGAAAAACTCACTTAACTCACATGTAGAATGCATTCTGATTTTCTAAGAGGCTCAGATTGCCATAATCGGCTTTTATTTCTTCACATTCATATTATTTCAAATTAAACATTTTCAAACATAATTTAAGTCAATATCTTTTTAGTCACTTTAAAGTTTTAAAACATATGTAGTCTTTAACATAAGTAGTTTTTAAGCTATTAATTGCCTTTTTTTCCCAAAAACAAAAAATTATTTTGAATCTTTTGAATTATTTTGATCTTTTGTTAATTTTGATAAATGTTTGTTAGGCATGCCAAATTGACTTGTTAAGAAGAGCTATGTACAGCTATGTTGCATACATTAATTACTTTGATTGTAAATGGCATTTAAAAATTATCTACCTAAATTTATCATTGTAAATCAACAGTACTATAAAATACTACTTTGAGAAATACTGCCTTAATTTTATGTGAGTGAAGTTTTTTGGTTTTTTTTGTTTTTTGTTTTGTCTTTTTGAGACAGGGTCTCTTATGCAGTTCAGGCTGGTCTTGAGCTCACTTTGTAGCCTAGGCTGGTCTCAAACTTGCAAGGATCCTCCTTGCCTCAGCCTCCCCCAGAGTGCTGGGATTACAGGCATGAGCCACCACACCCGGGGTGTGAGTTTTTTATTTTGTATTTTTTTGTGGCTTTTAATTGGTTGGTTGTGATAAATCAAATTCCTTTCAAGAATGGCTATTAACTTCTTCCGTTAATGCATTATGTATTGATTGGCTAATATTACATTGAAAATACAGTGTATCTCTTTATGTCAATATTTCCATTAAGTACATGTGTTATAACATGTGACTATGTATAGAGTTTTAAAAGTTTTAAGCTTAGCACTAAAACCAAACATTTTGTCCATTGTAAATATTTTCATTTTGTCTGATCAATCACAAAAAGTTTATTCAATATATAGATTTCTCTAGAACTTTTTGTATTAAGCCTTTAAAATCTAAACTTGTATTCTAAAGGTTTGTTGAATTCTCTCTCTTCATTGCAAGGGTTTTTAACCTCTCAGAGATTTCAGAGGAACCCTCAAACCCTTGAATTGCTTATAACATAAAAATCAGGGTGCGTTATTTTTAATTTTGGAACATAGCTCTTGTTAAAACTTCAAGGACTTTGATCTTAAACAAAAAGTAACAAACATGACCTTTAATGTAGACAGTACTTTGAATTGTCATACATCTGAAATAATAGTTGTGACATTGTATGATCTTTTTTTTCCCCCAGCCCCCCCCCATGGAGTATCTTGAAAGAATATTAAAAGAAAAATCTATGATGAAAACCAGAAAATCTCTGCATTTATAGTCTTGAACTTTGAAGTAATTAGAGTAGATAAGATATTACTAATAGAGCTGGGCATGGTGGCTCACCTCTGTAATCCCAGCACTCGGGAGGCTGAAGCGGGAGGACCGTTGAGAGTTCGAGACCAGCCTGGGCTACAAAGTGAGCTCAAGGCCACCCTGAACTGCATAGTGACACTCTGTCTCAAAAAAGACAAAAAAAAAAAAAAAAAAAAAAAAATATTACTAATAGAAGAGATAGCATAAGGGTGAATTACATTCCACAAAAGACAAGTTAGTCATTTAACCATTTATTCTTATGAATTACTTTTTTTTTCTTTGTAGTACCAGGGATTGAATCTAGGGCCTCACATATGCTAGGCAAGTGCTCTACTACTGAACTACATCCCCAGTCTCTCTGAAGGACTTTTATTTTGCCTTGTTAACAGAAACCCAAAAGACTGTTGCTTTATGTTAAATGGTTGAAATTGTTATTTAATATAACAGATGACTTAAGTTTGTTTTTGTATTTTGGAAAATCTTGCTTTTCCAAGTATTTGAAAGAATAAGAAAAGTACATAACACAGACCCAGCAAAAAATAAATATTCTTTGGAACAGACCATGCAGATTTCCAAAATATATTTTACCTTAGAGAAAGAAAGTAAACTTTTAAAAATTTGCACTCCAGTTAGGATTAGTATGTTTAAGAAGAACCAATTTCATTACAGAAAGGAAAGTGATATTGTTTATATGTTATTAATCACTGAGACCTTCTTTTGTTTGGGGTTTTTTGCACTCGGAATGAAACTCCCGAGCACACTCTTGAGAGGCAGGCGCTTATGCCACTGAGCTAAATCCCCAGCCCTGAGACTTTTTCTTAAACACATGTCTTTAGTAGCAAAGCATTACTTTATTTTCTTTTAGAAAATGTAAAATACCTATTATAAAGCCATATTCTTTTCCACTGCAGTTTATATCTCCTTGAATTAAAAGGGCCAAATTTTTACTGTAGTTACTATTGGTTTGGTATTGACAACTTTCCATTTCCTACAAGTTAAAACTTTTTTTTTTAGGGTTTTCATTTTACTCTAGTTTGTTACCAAGGTATAACAAAGACAAGGAACTCTTTTAATGAAGGTATATCCTGTAGCAGGACAAATTAATTAAGGTACAGGATTCTTTCCTTCTCCTTAAACAAAAGTGAACTTAAATTTGACTATTGTGTTGTCAAAGATTGCTCTTCAAGGAGATTTGTCAACATTTTATGTATCAGTGAAAAGCTTATGATGGGGGCGGGGATTTAGCTCAGCGGCATAAGCGCCTGCCTTGCAAGCAGGCAGTCGTGAGTTCGATCCCCAGTACCAATGAAAAGGAAAAAGACAAAAAAGAAAAAAGAAAAGCTTATGGTTAATCATATTTACTTTTAAAAAAAAAGTTTCCCACTTAGGATGGTGGTGCACACCTGTAGTCTCAGCTACTCAGGAGAGTGAAGCAGCAAGATCAAAATTTCTGCCCCAACCTGTGCAACAGGGAGCAAGAGGGGGAATCACTACAGGCAACTGAGTTAGATAGAAATATTATAGGCAGTTAGACAGGGCTAGGTCCTCAAAGGAGCCAGTGCAGAAGGCCAGATACCTTGCAGCCATGGAGGAGACACTTACTCCTGTGGGCCAGGCCTCAAGACAAAAGATCAAGCAAATACACCCACATCCTAACGATTGATATTCTAAATAGATTTCTATCACGCTTGAGGAAACCAAAAGTCATCATCCCAACTGTCTACCAGAACAGCCACTGTACTTTAAGCATACCCTTTTGCTATGTGACTTACTTTTCCATTTGTTCCTGATTTAATCAATTTTACCTGAGCAGTTAATCTTATTGGTTGACCATAGTTCTGTCCCACCTTATGCCCACCTTGTGATTTCCCGTTCTTGACCTGCCTCACCTTATGGTTTTGTCCTATAAAATCCCTAGAAAAGACAAGGATTTGGGCAACTCACTTGGGACCTTGTCTGTCTCTCTCTTAGCCAGAAGATTTCTTTCTCTCAATAAATATATTCTGCTCTTTAAAAAAATAAATAAAAGAATGAAAAGAGCTGGGATATACTTCAGTGTCCAAATCCTGGGTTCAATCCCCAGTATCTTTAATTTTTTTTTTTTTTTTGTACCAGGAATTGAACTTATGCTTGCCAGGCTGGCAACTTAAGCCGCTAGCTATGCCACAGAGCTAAATTCCCAGCCCTAAATTTTTTTTAAAATTTTATTTTAGTGTAATACAAGTAAAAATCAAAGTCTTTAAAAGCATTCTTCTGTGAAAAAAACAATTTCATAAATGAGAGAATTAACAGTAGTTAATACACTATATCATAATCTTAATGGCCAAAATATTGCTGAAAATATATACTAATGAAACAAACAAAAAGACTCTCACAAAGAAGATCCAAACATAAAAAATTTGAACTCAATCTGGCAACTTAATTAGACTCTGTCTTAAAAAAACGGGGGTGTAGTATATACACTTGAGACCCTGGGATGAATCCACAGTACTGATGAAAACAAAAATTACCAGTGGTATTTGCTAGGATTATTTCCAAAAGACGAAAAATATTTCCAAAAGATGAGAAGTATGACCAGCACCTCCACCGCTGGCGTCCAGTGATCTCTCCGGCGGACATGTGGCGTGGGGGCATGTAAATAGCCTCGGTTTGGGGTGGAACCTAAGGCAGGCATTAGGGATGCACAGGTAGCCCACTGGTCCTAGGTTTGGTGCCATATGTAAATTTCCAGGGGCGGGAAGATGACGTCACAGGTAACTTCCTAGGGGCAGGGGAGATAGGGCTTCCTGCTTCTGGTTGAGGTTTTCCTGGCTACAGTGTCCTGTCTGGGCCAAAACCCTTTCAGTATTCACTTGTAAATTCATATGAAGTCTTAAATCATTTGGAAAAAGGTTGTGTGATAGCTCGGACCCTGGAATAAAATCCAAGGAAGCAAGAAATTAAGAAATTTGGAGCAAAGGCTTTATTTTAGGCCAGGCCTGGTGACGCAGCCTCCAGTAGCCAATATGGAAGACTGCGTGCCTAACAGCTAGAGGGCGGGGTTTTTATCTTGTTTTTTTTTTTTTTCTTTCCTCGGTACCAGGGATTGAACTCACGACTTCCTGTTTGCAAGGCAGGCGCTTATGCCGCTGAGCTAAATTCCCAGCCCGGGTTTTTATCTTGTAAAACTGCAAGCAGCTGCTGGTCTCACAATGCAAGGAGGGGGTGGGTTTGTGGCGCACTACAGAACAGGAACACTGCAACTACATTTCTTGGGAAAAGCAAGGTTCAGGTAAGGGTTGGGCTAACAAGCAAGTTTAGATTAGGCAAACATCCTCTGGGGGGAGGCACATCCTGCAAACAAGCAAGTTTAGATTAGGAAGACATTCTGTAATTTCCTTGTAGTTAAACATTTCTTAAGGAACAGCACATTTTATTACAGATAGGCAGAAGGGGGTGGGGAGGTTTACAAGAAACTGAAACTTAAGGCTTTTATGGGAAATGGAGACTTAACCTAAAAAGAATGGGGAGCGGAGGGGGTTGTGCGGCGCATACAGAACAAGATGGAGGCTCATTGGTTAGAGCTAGGCTACAACAGTTGCTACATTTTAATATCTTTTCATTGTCAATGTAGACAATTATGTAGAAAATTTAATTTTATAACAATGTGTGA